TGTAACTACCCATGCAATGTACTCAGGTCATGTTTTAATGTATTAACTAAACCTATTGTTATTTATTTATTTCTAAATTTGAAATCTACCTTTAAAAATACACTACTTGAACGGTCACAGTTATATAATGAATGCCATAATCCTCGCCGTTATGAAATATTGCTCAAATCAGCGTAAAAATACATTCATTTGCAAAAAATATCTCTAATTTCATTCACAAAATGTTCCGGCAAAGACAATCTGCATCTCCTCTGAAGCAAAATAATCATAGCAATATTTGTATTTCATTGTGTATGTCAATGTTTAATTAGTCATGTTCAAGTTTTGTACCCTGCCCCCTGTGGGTGTTTATGTACAATAAATAGTCTTCTTCTTCTTCTCCTTCACTGACGCCTTCATGAGCTGGATCTCACTGGTTATAAGGTAGGTAACTCGTGAATGATTGTCATATATTGATGCGCACTTAAAATATACTTTTCTTTGGTGCTTGGTACCAATTGGGGATACCAATACTCGCATTCATAATGACGGAATCCCTTTGAAGAATTAATTATCAGTCGTGATTGTGAAAATGTGTCGAAACTCCATGCATTTAGCTTTGCAGGTTCGCTGTCTTTGCATGGGGGCACCTGCGCGATAATATAACAAGTGACAGATTGACAGATCCACTCAATCCAAAACAGTTTCGACCGCGCCACGCATTCTTATTTATTGTGTCACAATGCAGCTTTGTCATGTCTCAGCAGCTATTCTTAAAGATGTCACGTGACAAGCAGCCCAAAACACGGTTTGCCCGTGCACTATCTGAACACATGTTGCCTGCAGTTTGATTAAAGCAAGGCGTGAACGTCTTGCTCATTTGCTCACGTGGTGTACATTAATATCCCGATGAATGTTTGTTGTTTAACGCCGCACTCAGATATATTCCATCTATATGAAAGCGCGGTGTGTACATAATTGAGTCTGGACCAGACAAGCCTGTGATTTACACCATGAGCATCGATCCACGCCATTGAGATACGATGGCATGCATCAAACACGTCAGCAAGCCAGCGAGTCTTGGCGACCATCCGATCCCGTTAGTGGCCTCTTACGACAAGCAAAGGGTTACTGAAGACGAATTCTCATCCGGATCTTCACGGGTCCCAATGAATGTACTGCAGATAAGTGTGTGCTGCACGAACATCCAATGCAAACCGTGCTACGCATATTAAGTGATGCTCTCAGTAGGATAGAGAAATGGTTCGCCAAGAAATTGTCGCATCTATAAATATCTCAGCAAATAATTATTAGTTTAAATCATAATTCCTAGATTATATAAATAATAAGAACAAGTTGTCCTTAGAAACATCTGGCGTAATATCTTAACTTGCCTATCATAGGCATTGTTACAATAATCAAGCTCCTGTTTAACTGGAATGACATCACATACGGCTCTTGCAGACAAATGTCCAAAGTATACCTTTCGTTATTTGTATTTATTTAAGAAAACAATGGAGCTCATGTTAATGTTAGGAAAAAAATTGAGCTCCTAAAACCTAAAAAGAAATCCAACCACCGAAAATGAAATGGTACATATATGTAAAAGTACATTAACATATTATTTTATAGTAAAAACAAATTCCTACAAATCAAGAGAGAGAGAGAGAGAGAGACAGAGAGAGACAGAGAGAGAGAGAGAGAGAGAGAGAGAGATGTACTGGTACACTTGATGTAAATGTATTATGACGCGCTGTTAATTTGACTGACGTTCTGAAATAGTTCTCATTTCTCAACAGACCCTCCTCATCTAATGCTAATATTAATTGAATATATTTGTTGTCAACAAATTACGAAAGACGTCATTGCAGAACAATGTGAGCATACACACGCTCTTGTCACCCCTACAAATGAGAAACTACTTCATTCCACTTTACAACTTATTGCTGTATTGATCTTCATCGTTCGAGGTAAAACATAGTGATATAAATAATTAAGCTCCGACTTTCATAACAGTTTGGCTCTCACTCTATGAAGATTCATACTCCAATGAACTCACACAAAGTGAAAGTCAATTCTGAATTATGTTAATTTGGCTATAATTCAAGCAACGTATTGGTTAGGTATACTAGGATAGTAACATCACTATTAGGAGTCCCGATTCACTTTGCTCTTCCTTGATAGGCGTGGTCGTGTCTGGCGACGTCGAAACAAACGTCAAGCCAATGGTCAACCCGAGGCCTAATGACAGATTTGACGGTGGATCGGTTATGGTGTGTTGGGTGGCATCATTAAGACTGAGCGAACCCCACTCCATAATTATATAAAATTGCCTGTTATAGTATCGATATGCCTTCCCAAGTCCCGGCCAAACAAAAGAAAGAACTCTAAGCATTAGCAGTTATTGTTGCTAAGCCTTTTGTTAAGTTCTACCTGTGCAAATAGCGATACAATAGCGATGTGTTGAAAGATAGATCATGGGACGATAGCGTTGTAGCCGATATTGTGCCGTCATTGGTTGTGTGAGTTCTGTAATTGATGCAGTAGTAACAGATATATGTGTATTGCTTTCCCACATGGCAATACAAATGACATTTATCAATGTTTTATTTTATTTATTATTTATAAGGCACTTAAAGTTTGCCCAATATCAAAATTCAACATTGACAAAAGACGTTGAACAGTTTTTTTAAGTGTGACGTCTAAATGCACCGTTCTCTCAAGGTCAAGCTGACACAAAAGTGTGTAGCTTCCTCCGACATCGGTTATAAGAAACGATAACATATGCCGGCTATAAATTATGTTCATAATAGCATAAATATATTTATATATAATAAAATCCGTTGTTCCAACTATTATTACATTTTTTTAATCACAGGATTATAAACTGTTTACATAAAATCTATAAGAATTGTTAAAAGTATACAATGTGACATAAAAGGTCGTTTTCCGTCATGTATAAGAAAGTTATTTTTTTGCATAGAATACGTAACGTTATGCAGACTTACACATTCATTTTATATATCATTTTGTTATTCTTCACGCATAATAATATTTCAAACAACACCTTGCAGTGTCTGTTTTTCAAACGAATCTTATATTTGCATTCAATTTTAATCCTGAGATAAGAACTTGTACATCTCTGCATAATTTTACTAAGAGGTAAATCCAGTGCCGCGCGACCGCAATTCTCGCAAAACGTTCACTTTTCAGCACTTGTGAAAAATGTGAGTAAAAATAACTTAGCATCTGTGGGGTTTAACAAACTCCCTTACTTTTGCGTAATTTTCAACTGAGGAAAAATGGGCCTAATATCTGAAGTTTTTACTCGCACCACATTGTCTGTACTTTCCGACAGTTAGATATTTTCTTCCGTCGTACATCACAGGGAAGATGCTCAATTATTGATAGATTTTAGAGACAAAGTGATATCCAGGTTCTGTTGCGATAATTAAAGATTAATGCGAAACAATGTTATCCCTCTTAGTTCCTTTCATTTGTTACATGATGCAGAATAGTCTTGACGTTTTAAAAAATGAAAACCATTAAAGCGTTTTGTCCTAAAGCTCGATGGCTTCGTTAATAATATTTAGCGCTTCGTCATGTTTCTATATACAGTGTATTGTGTCAGCTTTGAAGAGAACCAGACCCCAAACAAACCATTGTGGAAGGGTAGATATATCAGATTGAATGGAATATTGTAAAAGCAATTTCCAATAAGCGTAATAGCTTTGTAAAGAAACTGTCCATATTGTATTTGAAACAAATGGCATCGTCTTTCCTTCTTATTTTCAAAATCGACAGTAACTGCACGACTCAGTTTAGATGTGTGTGAGAGAGAGGGTGTACTGCTTATTTGTATTAGCTTTGAGAATTGTAATCATTTCTGAAGTTTTGTTTTGACAATTTAAGACTACAAAGGCAAATCATTGCCAACCATGATATACCTGCTCACAATCGTTACTTTTCTTCTGGCGTGTCCACTAGAAGTTAGCACTTATCTCAGGTTGGAAAACTTGAAGAGAGTCATGGCAAACAAGCAGATGTCAATTGTATGGGGTGTACACAATGTGACGAATGACATGTGCACATCACCGTGTCTAGTTGATAGCAGCAGTTTTGATGAAGCAAGGGGTACATGTCTGGCGTTTAGTCCTGGCATAGGGAGAGTGATGGTTCAGGAGACAAGGCCCAAGACCGGATACCCAGTCTACTTTTCGAAAGGGCGTAAGTATATCGTTTGTATTCTGACATGACTATGTTAGAGGAAATATGAAAAGAAAAGGATTCTTATTCACCGAACGTCACATCTGTGAAATAAATCGTCGTCTTTGAGCTGATGTAGGAATAATAATAAGTATTTGTTTTTGTTTAAAATACAGGGTAGTGGTGGGTAGTTATGTGGCAAAAGCGTTCGCTCGTCATACCGAAGGTCCGGGTTCGATTTACAACATGAGTATTCTAAATGAAGCCACTAGACATATTGTTAAAAAGCTTTCTAACATCATACTCACTTCTTCACTGTAAAATACACTGAATGACAGAGGGGAGACAAAACAACATTAAAAGTGGTATACTTCAAGTACGACAAGAGTTCAGTTAAGTGTTAGACACAGGAGATGTTTGTTGTTCTCATGATAGCTAGTAGGTCAGCTTCTCCTTTCGGAGACATTGCTTCGGAGTTGTCTATAACAGACATCTTTTTTGTTTTTGTTGTTGATTACTAGTTTACATTCGCAAATATCGGCAGTAGGTACGACTTTGAAGACATATATTTAATGTTGGTTGTCCCAAAAAATTGTAACCCTTATTTGATTTATATAAACTGATGACAACCGTATTCCTAACATGCTGGAATGGTAATGTTGCATAATTGAAAACTAACAACGTAATAATGTAAAGAAATAACAGGTTGGAATATATGTATTGACATTAGATTTGGCGCAATTTTCAATCCGCTAATCAGCTGCTTGTAAACGTGTCCCATAGAAAAAGATAACTGGCAGATCCTGCTTAGGAAGATGGAAGCTGACCGGACAATTGCCAATTTCAAGTGGCAAGTTTTCTTGACGAACGTCAAGGGATCTCTTCGAGTCAGGATGTGGCAGTTCCGCTTTTGCGATGCTGCCCTTGAACCGTGAGAACCCAGCTGACAAAGAAACCTTGTTTAAATATTATGAAAACGTCTCCATATGGTTACAGAAACGTTCGAAACAACGTTTAAAAACGTAAATTTGAATTTCTTTTACGTTTTCCAAACGTTTCGAAAAGAAAACGTTGGCGAGGAACATTATGGAAACCTAAATATAACTACATGGTTGAGAGCATCCGGTGACCATAGAGACATCCTAAATGAGAGACATCTTCTGGCATCTTCGTTGTTCAATCCCTTTGTCAACACTTTCAGTGTTCGAAAGTCCCATCCAATTCGTACATACATAAGCCCATTCAGAAATCATTTCATGCACTACTGTTTACCCTCTTAATGGAAGGGGTGGAGTAAAAGGGAAGTAAAATGCCATGTTTCCAATGAATACTTCAATTCGTCAATACATAATAATGTTATAATTATTTATCGGACTCATGTTGCGTTTGTGTTGGCTACTGAAAATAACCACCAATATTCTTTCATCGACTCCTGATGATAAAGCCTTAAATATAAATAATGATACATATTTGAAATAAATGTTAATTTGAGCTTAATTGATATACATCTACATTATATTTCTCGTTAAAAAGTCGCATCTTTTATTTACTTGTGTGGGGGGCTGACATTTGTAATGGGGAAATGACGTATTGTAAATAACGAAATGGATTCGAGTGTTATTCTGTTCCTGAAGGGCAACTTGACCAACTATGTATAAGCACGTGGGATACGGGACGAGGAAACTGGTGATATTCCTTCTCTTTGAACAGATTAATTCTCGTGTACTCAATAACCTCAATAACACTAAACACAAATTCAATTTTGTAAACGTAATTGTCACGAAGATTTCGTAGCACAAATTATATTTCCGACATTTAAGTTGTGACAAAGTCTTTGTAATATGCTCATGTATTTTTCAAACCAAGAAAGAGGGTTCACAACGCACCGGTACAGAATTTCATTTTAATTACAGTATGATTTATATTTGAGCTTAACTGTACAAACTGATGTTTTTGCAACAAATAATGTGACTATGTACGGCTTCGACTTTCAAAACATGGGGATTCCTAATGGAAAAAACATGGGGATCTAGGCATTCCCGAGAGCTGACCCCGATATAACAGTCAGCTGAAATGTCCGCGAGAGTAGGATGAGGAATTTAAAATGCTGTCTCTTTAGTAAACAAAATCAGTGTCAGATCAAGTTTAAATACTTACTCATCTTGAATTATTAGTTGTATGTTGTACAAACCAAACGTGATTTTGGTATGGCACAACATCACTTCCTGTCCCAACTTTACGCACAATGTATGATATCAGTACGTTGTATTAGATTTGATGTCTTCCTTTATTTTGTTTGACTTTGGTGCGCCTGACAGAAATGCGAGTACGATTTATCTTAAAGCTTTGTCTTTATATTGCCATGTACATTGACGATGATCTTTTTGTTTCCTCGCCAGAAAGACTGTTATGTTGGACAGTGATCTCGTGTCTTATAGTGATTACAGACACACCATTATATCTCAAGACTTGAGCTTCAGGAGCGCTGGTTTGTTTAAGATGAAGTTCTTTCCTTGTGACACCAACGTTGCTTTATGTTTTCAGTCATTTGTAAAGGTAAAAAAAGCAAATGCCTTCACATGATCTTTGTTGTTGAAGTCAGTGTTATGGTGTGTGTTTTATCAATTACAATTAAATGTACAGAAAAAGAATGCGACTGCGTTGCAGGGTCTGGTGGTATGAATCAGACATGTGTACGTCCCAGCGACTGCTACGCCAATGGAACCGTGTGCTACCAAGGACGGTGCGTGTGCGACCCCGAGTTCATCTTTGACAAACCGACACATGCATGTGTTAGAAGTGAGTCATCATGCCATGTACAGCTGTAGTATATTAATGCAAGAACGTCGGTTGCCCGCGACGTACATGTAGATGACACGCATTATCTTCTCTATAAAAGGCAGGTTGTCCTGGGTATAGTATCCATGTCACAAATCGGGGGAACGCCCAATCTCATTAAAATCAGATCTTAGTTTTCGCTACCGCTATTATGGCGAGGAACATTATGGAAACCTAAAAATAACTACATGGTTGAGAGCATCCGGTGACCATAGAGACATCCTAAATGAGAGACATCTTCTGGCATCTTCGTTGTTCAATCCCTTTGTCAACACTTTCAGTGTTCGAAAGTCCCATCCAATTCGTACATACATAAGCCCATTCAGAAATCATTTCATGCACTACTGTTTACCCTCTTAATGGAAGGGGTGGAGTAAAAGGGAAATACAATGCCATGTTTCCAATGAATACTTCAATTCGTCAATACATAATAATGTTATAATTATTTATCGGACTCATGTTGCGTTTGTGTTGGCTACTGAAAATAACCACCAATATTCATTTCATCGACTCCTGATGATAAAGCCTTAAATATAAATAATGATACATATTTGAAATACATGTTAATTTGAGCTTAATTGATATACATCTACATTATATTTCTCGTTAAAAAGTCGCATCTTTTATTTACTTGTGTGGGGGGCTGACATTTGTAATGGGGAAATGACGTATTGTAAATAACGAAATGGATTCGAGTGTTATTCTGTTCCTGAAGGGCAACTTGACCAACTATGTATAAGCACGTGGGATACGGGACGAGGAAACTGGTGATATTCCTTCTCTTTGAACAGATTAATTCTCGTGTACTCAATAACCTCAATAACACTAAACACAAATTCAATTTTGTAAACGTAATTGTCACGAAGATTTCGTAGCACAAATTATATTTCCGACATTTAAGTTGTGACAAAGTCTTTGTAATATGCTCATGTATTTTTCAAACCAAGAAAGAGGGTTCACAACGCACCGGTACAGAATTTCATTTTAATTACAGTATGATTTATATTTGAGCTTAACTGTACAAACTGATGTTTTTGCAACAAATAATGTGACTATGTACGGCTTCGACTTTCAAAACATGGGGATTCCTAATGGAAAAAACATGGGGATCTAGGCATTCCCGAGAGCTGACCCCGATATAACAGTCAGCTGAAATGTCCGCGAGAGTAGGATGAGGAATTTAAAATGCTGTCTCTTTAGTAAACAAAATCAGTGTCAGATCAAGTTTAAATACTTACTCATCTTGAATTATTAGTTGTATGTTGTACAAACCAAACGTGATTTTGGTATGGCACAACATCACTTCCTGTCCCAACTTTACGCACAATGTATGATATCAGTACGTTGTATTAGATTTGATGTCTTCCTTTATTTTGTTTGACTTTGGTGCGCCTGACAGAAATGCGAGTACGATTTATCTTAAAGCTTTGTCTTTATATTGCCATGTACATTGACGATGATCTTTTTGTTTCCTCGCCAGAAAGACTGTTATGTTGGACAGTGATCTCGTGTCTTATAGTGATTACAGACACACCATTATATCTCAAGACTTGAGCTTCAGGAGCGCTGGTTTGTTTAAGATGAAGTTCTTTCCTTGTGACACCAACGTTGCTTTATGTTTTCAGTCATTTGTAAAGGTAAAAAAAGCAAATGCCTTCACATGATCTTTGTTGTTGAAGTCAGTGTTATGGTGTGTGTTTTATCAATTACAATTAAATGTACAGAAAAAGAATGCGACTGCGTTGCAGGGTCTGGTGGTATGAATCAGACATGTGTACGTCCCAGCGACTGCTACGCCAATGGAACCGTGTGCTACCAAGGACGGTGCGTGTGCGACCCCGAGTTCATCTTTGACAAACCGACACATGCATGTGTTAGAAGTGAGTCATCATGCCATGTACAGCTGTAGTATATTAATGCAAGAACGTCGGTTGCCCGCGACGTACATGTAGATGACACGCATTATCTTCTCTATAAAAGGCAGGTTGTCCTGGGTATAGTATCCATGTCACAAATCGGGGGAACGCCCAATCTCATTAAAATCAGATCTTAGTTTTCGCTACCGCTATTATGGCGAGGAACATTATGGAAACCTAAAAATAACTACATGGTTGAGAGCATCCGGTGACCATAGAGACATCCTAAATGAGAGACATCTTCTGGCATCTTCGTTGTTCAATCCCTTTGTCAACACTTTCAGTGTTCGAAAGTCCCATCCAATTCGTACATACATAAGCCCATTCAGAAATCATTTCATGCACTACTGTTTACCCTCTTAATGGAAGGGGTGGAGTAAAAGGGAAATACAATGCCATGTTTCCAATGAATACTTCAATTCGTCAATACATAATAATGTTATAATTATTTATCGGACTCATGTTGCGTTTGTGTTGGCTACTGAAAATAACCACCAATATTCATTTCATCGACTCCTGATGATAAAGCCTTAAATATAAATAATGATACATATTTGAAATACATGTTAATTTGAGCTTAATTGATATACATCTACATTATATTTCTCGTTAAAAAGTCGCATCTTTTATTTACTTGTGTGGGGGGCTGACATTTGTAATGGGGAAATGACGTATTGTAAATAACGAAATGGATTCGAGTGTTATTCTGTTCCTGAAGGGCAACTTGACCAACTATGTATAAGCACGTGGGATACGGGACGAGGAAACTGGTGATATTCCTTCTCTTTGAACAGATTAATTCTCGTGTACTCAATAACCTCAATAACACTAAACACAAATTCAATTTTGTAAACGTAATTGTCACGAAGATTTCGTAGCACAAATTATATTTCCGACATTTAAGTTGTGACAAAGTCTTTGTAATATGCTCATGTATTTTTCAAACCAAGAAAGAGGGTTCACAACGCACCGGTACAGAATTTCATTTTAATTACAGTATGATTTATATTTGAGCTTAACTGTACAAACTGATGTTTTTGCAACAAATAATGTGACTATGTACGGCTTCGACTTTCAAAACATGGGGATTCCTAATGGAAAAAACATGGGGATCTAGGCATTCCCGAGAGCTGACCCCGATATAACAGTCAGCTGAAATGTCCGCGAGAGTAGGATGAGGAATTTAAAATGCTGTCTCTTTAGTAAACAAAATCAGTGTCAGATCAAGTTTAAATACTTACTCATCTTGAATTATTAGTTGTATGTTGTACAAACCAAACGTGATTTTGGTATGGCACAACATCACTTCCTGTCCCAACTTTACGCACAATGTATGATATCAGTACGTTGTATTAGATTTGATGTCTTCCTTTATTTTGTTTGACTTTGGTGCGCCTGACAGAAATGCGAGTACGATTTATCTTAAAGCTTTGTCTTTATATTGCCATGTACATTGACGATGATCTTTTTGTTTCCTCGCCAGAAAGACTGTTATGTTGGACAGTGATCTCGTGTCTTATAGTGATTACAGACACACCATTATATCTCAAGACTTGAGCTTCAGGAGCGCTGGTTTGTTTAAGATGAAGTTCTTTCCTTGTGACACCAACGTTGCTTTATGTTTTCAGTCATTTGTAAAGGTAAAAAAAGCAAATGCCTTCACATGATCTTTGTTGTTGAAGTCAGTGTTATGGTGTGTGTTTTATCAATTACAATTAAATGTACAGAAAAAGAATGCGACTGCGTTGCAGGGTCTGGTGGTATGAATCAGACATGTGTACGTCCCAGCGACTGCTACGCCAATGGAACCGTGTGCTACCAAGGACGGTGCGTGTGCGACCCCGAGTTCATCTTTGACAAACCGACACATGCATGTGTTAGAAGTGAGTCATCATGCCATGTACAGCTGTAGTATATTAATGCAAGAACGTCGGTTGCCCGCGACGTACATGTAGATGACACGCATTATCTTCTCTATAAAAGGCAGGTTGTCCTGGGTATAGTATCCATGTCACAAATCGGGGGAACGCCCAATCTCATTAAAATCAGATCTTAGTTTTCGCTACCGCTATTATGGCGAGGAACATTATGGAAACCTAAAAATAACTACATGGTTGAGAGCATCCGGTGACCATAGAGACATCCTAAATGAGAGACATCTTCTGGCATCTTCGTTGTTCAATCCCTTTGTCAACACTTTCAGTGTTCGAAAGTCCCATCCAATTCGTACATACATAAGCCCATTCAGAAATCATTTCATGCACTACTGTTTACCCTCTTAATGGAAGGGGTGGAGTAAAAGGGAAATACAATGCCATGTTTCCAATGAATACTTCAATTCGTCAATACATAATAATGTTATAATTATTTATCGGACTCATGTTGCGTTTGTGTTGGCTACTGAAAATAACCACCAATATTCATTTCATCGACTCCTGATGATAAAGCCTTAAATATAAATAATGATACATATTTGAAATACATGTTAATTTGAGCTTAATTGATATACATCTACATTATATTTCTCGTTAAAAAGTCGCATCTTTTATTTACTTGTGTGGGGGGCTGACATTTGTAATGGGGAAATGACGTATTGTAAATAACGAAATGGATTCGAGTGTTATTCTGTTCCTGAAGGGCAACTTGACCAACTATGTATAAGCACGTGGGATACGGGACGAGGAAACTGGTGATATTCCTTCTCTTTGAACAGATTAATTCTCGTGTACTCAATAACCTCAATAACACTAAACACAAATTCAATTTTGTAAACGTAATTGTCACGAAGATTTCGTAGCACAAATTATATTTCCGACATTTAAGTTGTGACAAAGTCTTTGTAATATGCTCATGTATTTTTCAAACCAAGAAAGAGGGTTCACAACGCACCGGTACAGAATTTCATTTTAATTACAGTATGATTTATATTTGAGCTTAACTGTACAAACTGATGTTTTTGCAACAAATAATGTGACTATGTACGGCTTCGACTTTCAAAACATGGGGATTCCTAATGGAAAAAACATGGGGATCTAGGCATTCCCGAGAGCTGACCCCGATATAACAGTCAGCTGAAATGTCCGCGAGAGTAGGATGAGGAATTTAAAATGCTGTCTCTTTAGTAAACAAAATCAGTGTCAGATCAAGTTTAAATACTTACTCATCTTGAATTATTAGTTGTATGTTGTACAAACCAAACGTGATTTTGGTATGGCACAACATCACTTCCTGTCCCAACTTTACGCACAATGTATGATATCAGTACGTTGTATTAGATTTGATGTCTTCCTTTATTTTGTTTGACTTTGGTGCGCCTGACAGAAATGCGAGTACGATTTATCTTAAAGCTTTGTCTTTATATTGCCATGTACATTGACGATGATCTTTTTGTTTCCTCGCCAGAAAGACTGTTATGTTGGACAGTGATCTCGTGTCTTATAGTGATTACAGACACACCATTATATCTCAAGACTTGAGCTTCAGGAGCGCTGGTTTGTTTAAGATGAAGTTCTTTCCTTGTGACACCAACGTTGCTTTATGTTTTCAGTCATTTGTAAAGGTAAAAAAAGCAAATGCCTTCACATGATCTTTGTTGTTGAAGTCAGTGTTATGGTGTGTGTTTTATCAATTACAATTAAATGTACAGAAAAAGAATGCGACTGCGTTGCAGGGTCTGGTGGTATGAATCAGACATGTGTACGTCCCAGCGACTGCTACGCCAATGGAACCGTGTGCTACCAAGGACGGTGCGTGTGCGACCCCGAGTTCATCTTTGACAAACCGACACATGCATGTGTTAGAAGTGAGTCATCATGCCATGTACAGCTGTAGTATATTAATGCAAGAACGTCGGTTGCCCGCGACGTACATGTAGATGACACGCATTATCTTCTCTATAAAAGGCAGGTTGTCCTGGGTATAGTATCCATGTCACAAATCGGGGGAACGCCCAATCTCATTAAAATCAGATCTTAGTTTTCGCTACCGCTATTATGGCGAGGAACATTATGGAAACCTAAAAATAACTACATGGTTGAGAGCATCCGGTGACCATAGAGACATCCTAAATGAGAGACATCTTCTGGCATCTTCGTTGTTCAATCCCTTTGTCAACACTTTCAGTGTTCGAAAGTCCCATCCAATTCGTACATACATAAGCCCATTCAGAAATCATTTCATGCACTACTGTTTACCCTCTTAATGGAAGGGGTGGAGTAAAAGGGAAATACAATGCCATGTTTCCAATGAATACTTCAATTCGTCAATACATAATAATGTTATAATTATTTATCGGACTCATGTTGCGTTTGTGTTGGCTACTGAAAATAACCACCAATATTCATTTCATCGACTCCTGATGATAAAGCCTTAAATATAAATAATGATACATATTTGAAATACATGTTAATTTGAGCTTAATTGATATACATCTACATTATATTTCTCGTTAAAAAGTCGCATCTTTTATTTACTTGTGTGGGGGGCTGACATTTGTAATGGGGAAATGACGTATTGTAAATAACGAAATGGATTCGAGTGTTATTCTGTTCCTGAAGGGCAACTTGACCAACTATGTATAAGCACGTGGGATACGGGACGAGGAAACTGGTGATATTCCTTCTCTTTGAACAGATTAATTCTCGTGTACTCAATAACCTCAATAACACTAAACACAAATTCAATTTTGTAAACGTAATTGTCACGAAGATTTCGTAGCACAAATTATATTTCCGACATTTAAGTTGTGACAAAGTCTTTGTAATATGCTCATGTATTTTTCAAACCAAGAAAGAGGGTTCACAACGCACCGGTACAGAATTTCATTTTAATTACAGTATGATTTATATTTGAGCTTAACTGTACAAACTGATGTTTTTGCAACAAATAATGTGACTATGTACGGCTTCGACTTTCAAAACATGGGGATTCCTAATGGAAAAAACATGGGGATCTAGGCATTCCCGAGAGCTGACCCCGATATAACAGTCAGCTGAAATGTCCGCGAGAGTAGGATGAGGAATTTAAAATGCTGTCTCTTTAGTAAACAAAATCAGTGTCAGATCAAGTTTAAATACTTACTCATCTTGAATTATTAGTTGTATGTTGTACAAACCAAACGTGATTTTGGTATGGCACAACATCACTTCCTGTCCCAACTTTACGCACAATGTATGATATCAGTACGTTGTATTAGATTTGATGTCTTCCTTTATTTTGTTTGACTTTGGTGCGCCTGACAGAAATGCGAGTACGATTTATCTTAAAGCTTTGTCTTTATATTGCCATGTACATTGACGATGATCTTTTTGTTTCCTCGCCAGAAAGACTGTTATGTTGGACAGTGATCTCGTGTCTTATAGTGATTACAGACACACCATTATATCTCAAGACTTGAGCTTCAGGAGCGCTGGTTTGTTTAAGATGAAGTTCTTTCCTTGTGACACCAACGTTGCTTTATGTTTTCAGTCATTTGTAAAGGTAAAAAAAGCAAATGCCTTCACATGATCTTTGTTGTTGAAGTCAGTGTTATGGTGTGTGTTTTATCAATTACAATTAAATGTACAGAAAAAGAATGCGACTGCGTTGCAGGGTCTGGTGGTATGAATCAGACATGTGTACGTCCCAGCGACTGCTACGCCAATGGAACCGTGTGCTACCAAGGACGGTGCGTGTGCGACCCCGAGTTCATCTTTGACAAACCGACACATGCATGTGTTAGAAGTGAGTCATCATGCCATGTACAGCTGTAGTATATTAATGCAAGAACGTCGGTTGCCCGCGACGTACATGTAGATGACACGCATTATCTTCTCTATAAAAGGCAGGTTGTCCTGGGTATAGTATCCATGTCACAAATCGGGGGAACGCCCAATCTCATTAAAATCAGATCTTAGTTTTCGCTACCGCTATTATGGCGAGGAACATTATGGAAACCTAAAAATAACTACATGGTTGAGAGCATCCGGTGACCATAGAGACATCCTAAATGAGAGACATCTTCTGGCATCTTCGTTGTTCAATCCCTTTGTCAACACTTTCAGTGTTCGAAAGTCCCATCCAATTCGTACATACATAAGCCCATTCAGAAATCATTTCATGCACTACTGTTTACCCTCTTAATGGAAGGGGTGGAGTAAAAGGGAAATACAATGCCATGTTTCCAATGAATACTTCAATTCGTCAATACATAATAATGTTATAATTATTTATCGGACTCATGTTGCGTTTGTGTTGGCTACTGAAAATAACCACCAATATTCATTTCATCGACTCCTGATGATAAAGCCTTAAATATAAATAATGATACATATTTGAAATACATGTTAATTTGAGCTTAATTGATATACATCTACATTATATTTCTCGTTAAAAAGTCGCATCTTTTATTTACTTGTGTGGGGGGCTGACATTTGTAATGGGGAAATGACGTATTGTAAATAACGAAATGGATTCGAGTGTTATTCTGTTCCTGAAGGGCAACTTGACCAACTATGTATAAGCACGTGGGATACGGGACGAGGAAACTGGTGATATTCCTTCTCTTTGAACAGATTAATTCTCGTGTACTCAATAACCTCAATAACACTAAACACAAATTCAATTTTGTAAACGTAATTGTCACGAAGATTTCGTAGCACAAATTATATTTCCGACATTTAAGTTGTGACAAAGTCTTTGTAATATGCTCATGTATTTTTCAAACCAAGAAAGAGGGTTCACAATGCACCGGTACAGAATTTCATTTTAATTACAGTATGATTTATATTTGAGCTTAACTGTACAAACTGATGTTTTTGCAACAAATAATGTGACTATGTACGGCTTCGACTTTCAAAACATGGGGATTCCTAATGGAAAAAACATGGGGATCTAGGCATTCCCGAGAGCTGACCCCGATATAACAGTCAGCTGAAATGTCCGCGAGAGTAGGATGAGGAATTTAAAATGCTGTCTCTTTAGTAAACAAAATCAGTGTCAGATCAAGTTTAAATACTTACTCATCTTGAATTATTAGTTGTATGTTGTACAAACCAAACGTGATTTTGGTATGGCACAACATCACTTCCTGTCCCAACTTTACGCACAATGTATGATATCAGTACGTTGTATTAGATTTGATGTCTTCCTTTATTTTGTTTGACTTTGGTGCGCCTGACAGAAATGCGAGTACGATTTATCTTAAAGCTTTGTCTTTATATTGCCATGTACATTGACGATGATCTTTTTGTTTCCTCGCCAGAAAGACTGTTATGTTGGACAGTGATCTCGTGTCTTATAGTGATTACAGACACACCATTATATCTCAAGACTTGAGCTTCAGGAGCGCTGGTTTGTTTAAGATGAAGTTCTTTCCTTGTGACACCAACGTTGCTTTATGTTTTCAGTCATTTGTAAAGGTAAAAAAAGCAAATGCCTTCACATGATCTTTGTTGTTGAAGTCAGTGTTATGGTGTGTGTTTTATCAATTACAATTAAATGTACAGAAAAAGAATGCGACTGCGTTGCAGGGTCTGGTGGTATGAATCAGACATGTGTACGTCCCAGCGACTGCTACGCCAATGGAACCGTGTGCTACCAAGGACGGTGCGTGTGCGACCCCGAGTTCATCTTTGACAAACCGACACATGCATGTGTTAGAAGTGAGTCATCATGCCATGTACAGCTGTAGTATATTAATGCAAGAACGTCGGTTGCCCGCGACGTACATGTAGATGACACGCATTATCTTCTCTATAAAAGGCAGGTTGTCCTGGGTATAGTATCCATGTCACAAATCGGGGGAACGCCCAATCTCATTAAAATCAGATCTTAGTTTTCGCTACCGCTATTATGGCGAGGAACATTATGGAAACCTAAAAATAACTACATGGTTGAGAGCATCCGGTGACCATAGAGACATCCTAAATGAGAGACATCTTCTGGCATCTTCGTTGTTCAATCCCTTTGTCAACACTTTCAGTGTTCGAAAGTCCCATCCAATTCGTACATACATAAGCCCATTCAGAAATCATTTCATGCACTACTGTTTACCCTCTTAATGGAAGGGGTGGAGTAAAAGGGAAATACAATGCCATGTTTCCAATGAATACTTCAATTCGTCAATACATAATAATGTTATAATTATTTATCGGACTCATGTTGCGTTTGTGTTGGCTACTGAAAATAACCACCAATATTCATTTCATCGACTCCTGATGATAAAGCCTTAAATATAAATAATGATACATATTTGAAATACATGTTAATTTGAGCTTAATTGATATACATCTACATTATATTTCTCGTTAAAAAGTCGCATCTTTTATTTACTTGTGTGGGGGGCTGACATTTGTAATGGGGAAATGACGTATTGTAAATAACGAAATGGATTCGAGTGTTATTCTGTTCCTGAAGGGCAACTTGACCAACTATGTATAAGCACGTGGGATACGGGACGAGGAAACTGGTGATATTCCTTCTCTTTGAACAGATTAATTCTCGTGTACTCAATAACCTCAATAACACTAAACACAAATTCAATTTTGTAAACGTAATTGTCACGAAGATTTCGTAGCACAAATTATATTTCCGACATTTAAGTTGTGACAAAGTCTTTGTAATATGCTCATGTATTTTTCAAACCAAGAAAGAGGGTTCACAATGCACCGGTACAGAATTTCATTTTAATTACAGTATGATTTATATTTGAGCTTAACTGTACAAACTGATGTTTTTGCAACAAATAATGTGACTATGTACGGCTTCGACTTTCAAAACATGGGGATTCCTAATGGAAAAAACATGGGGATCTAGGCATTCCCGAGAGCTGACCCCGATATAACAGTCAGCTGAAATGTCCGCGAGAGTAGGATGAGGAATTTAAAATGCTGTCTCTTTAGTAAACAAAATCAGTGTCAGATCAAGTTTAAATACTTACTCATCTTGAATTATTAGTTGTATGTTGTACAAACCAAACGTGATTTTGGTATGGCACAACATCACTTCCTGTCCCAACTTTACGCACAATGTATGATATCAGTACGTTGTATTAGATTTGATGTCTTCCTTTATTTTGTTTGACTTTGGTGCGCCTGACAGAAATGCGAGTACGATTTATCTTAAAGCTTTGTCTTTATATTGCCATGTACATTGACGATGATCTTTTTGTTTCCTCGCCAGAAAGACTGTTATGTTGGACAGTGATCTCGTGTCTTATAGTGATTACAGACACACCATTATATCTCAAGACTTGAGCTTCAGGAGCGCTGGTTTGTTTAAGATGAAGTTCTTTCCTTGTGACACCAACGTTGCTTTATGTTTTCAGTCATTTGTAAAGGTAAAAAAAGCAAATGCCTTCACATGATCTTTGTTGTTGAAGTCAGTGTTATGGTGTGTGTTTTATCAATTACAATTAAATGTACAGAAAAAGAATGCGACTGCGTTGCAGGGTCTGGTGGTATGAATCAGACATGTGTACGTCCCAGCGACTGCTACGCCAATGGAACCGTGTGCTACCAAGGACGGTGCGTGTGCGACCCCGAGTTCATCTTTGACAAACCGACACATGCATGTGTTAGAAGTGAGTCATCATGCCATGTACAGCTGTAGTATATTAATGCAAGAACGTCGGTTGCCCGCGACGTACATGTAGATGACACGCATTATCTTCTCTATAAAAGGCAGGTTGTCCTGGGTATAGTATCCATGTCACAAATCGGGGGAACGCCCAATCTCATTAAAATCAGATCTTAGTTTTCGCTACCGCTATTATGGCGAGGAACATTATGGAAACCTAAAAATAACTACATGGTTGAGAGCATCCGGTGACCATAGAGACATCCTAAATGAGAGACATCTTCTGGCATCTTCGTTGTTCAATCCCTTTGTCAACACTTTCAGTGTTCGAAAGTCCCATCCAATTCGTACATACATAAGCCCATTCAGAAATCATTTCATGCACTACTGTTTACCCTCTTAATGGAAGGGGTGGAGTAAAAGGGAAATACAATGCCATGTTTCCAATGAATACTTCAATTTGTCAATACATAATAATGTTATAATTATTTATCGGACTCATGTTGCGTTTGTGTTGGCTACTGAAAATAACCACCAATATTCATTTCATCGACTCCTGATGATAAAGCCTTAAATATAAATAATGATACATATTTGAAATACATGTTAATTTGAGCTTAATTGATATACATCTACATTATATTTCTCGTTAAAAAGTCGCATCTTTTATTTACTTGTGTGGGGGGCTGACATTTGTAATGGGGAAATGACGTATTGTAAATAACGAAATGGATTCGAGTGTTATTCTGTTCCTGAAGGGCAACTTGACCAACTATGTATAAGCACGTGGGATACGGGACGAGGAAACTGGTAATATTCCTTCTCTTTGAACAGATTAATTCTCGTGTACTCAATAACCTCAATAACACTAAACACAAATTCAATTTTGTAAACGTAATTGTCACGAAGATTTCGTAGCACAAATTATATTTCCGACATTTAAGTTGTGACAAAGTCTTTGTAATATGCTTATGTATTTTTCAAACCAAGAAAGAGGGTTCACAACGCACCGGTACAGAATTTCATTTTAATTACAGTATGATTTATATTTGAGCTTAACTGTACAAACTGATGTTTTTGCAACAAATAATGTGACTATGTACGGCTTCGACTTTCAAAACATGGGGATTCCTTATGGAAAAACATGGGGATCTAGGCATTCCCGAGAGCTGACCCCGATATAACAGTCAGCTGAAATGTCCGCGAGAGTAGGATGAGGAATTTAAAATGCTGTCTCTTTAGTAAACAAAATCAGTGTCAGATCAAGTTTAAATACTTACTCATCTTGAATTATTAGTTGTATGTTGTACAAACCAAACGTGATTTTGGTATGGCACAACATCACTTCCTGTCCCAACTTTACGCACAATGTATGATATCAGTACGTTGTATTAGATTTGATGTCTTCCTTTATTTTGTTTGACTTTGGTGCGCCTGACAGAAATGCGAGTACGATTTATCTTAAAGCGTTGTCTTTATATTGCCATGTACATTGACGATGATCTTTTTGTTTCCTCGCCAGAAAGACTGTTATGTTGGACAGTGATCTCGTGTCTTATAGTGATTACAGACACACCATTATATCTCAAGACTTGAGCTTCAGGAGCGCTGGTTTGTTTAAGATGAAGTTCTTTCCTTGTGACACCAACGTTGCTTTATGTTTTCAGTCATTTGTAACAGGTAAAAAAAGCAAATGCCTTCACATGATCTTTGTTGTTGAAGTCAGTGTTATGGTGTGTGTTTTATCAATTACAATTAAATGTACAGAAAAAGAATGCGACTGCGTTGCAGGGTCTGGTGGTATGAATCAGACATGTGTACGTCCCAGCGACTGCTACGCCAATGGAACCGTGTGCTACCAAGGACGGTGCGTGTGCGACCCCGAGTTCATCTTTGACAAACCGACACATGCATGTGTTAGAAGTGAGTCATCATGCCATGTACAGCTGTAGTATATTAATGCAAGAACGTCGGTTGCCCGCGACGTACATGTAGATGACACGCATTATCTTCTCTATAAAAGGCAGGTTGTCCTGGGTATAGTATCCATGTCACAAATCGGGGGAACGCCCAATCTCATTAAAATCAGATCTTAGTTTTCGCTACCGCTAAACAAAGATCTGAGGACATTCCAATATGGGTCACGTCAGAACGACCTTTCGCGAACTTTGACCGATCAATGAAATGACCTGACAAGAAATCGACATTAGCCAATCAGAAGGCAGCTTTCTCGAGCTTTACGACACTAGATTCAAACTGGCGACTACGCTTCGTAACATATTTTAACGTATTCTCGATTAAAAATTTTAAAACTGATAAAAAATCCATTCTGGAATGGCTTACAGATGGCCTAGATTGTATTGATATAATCATAAAACCCGTAACTGTCGTTCGGAATACCCTCTGTAAAATATTTCGAGGTTGCATGATTAGAAAACACATTCCGTCTGTCACTTTCATGATCTGGTAAGCGACTCTCTGATTGGTTGGATGAAAGGTCGTTCTGACGTGACCCGTAATTGGATGTCCTGTGATCTTTGTTTAGCAATAGCGAGAACTAAGATCTGATTTTAATGAGATTGGGGGAACGCCATAAGGAACTATGGTGGCAAACATTTACAGCAATTGCATTGACGAACGCGCTCAGAAAGGTTGACTCATGGATCCCGCATGTTTCGTGGGTTCGCTCATGCTGAACACTGGTGCACACCTTATTAAACATTTCGAGTTTCCTTTAAGAAATGATGTGTTCGAAATTTGCTCTTGTTTGACAAGTAGTGAATGGGTACACAGTAGAATAAGATGGAAATGTGAACATTCTAGATCCAAATAGACAGCTTGGTTTGAATACAAGAATGCATCATGACTGCACATGCTTTGAGCATCTGCTTGTGTATATATTATATCATCTCGATAATGTGTCGAAGCCAGTAATAACACTTCGAAGGGTCTGAGACATTTTATTGATGTTGATGTACACGGTTGCATACGAAAGTGAGGCGGGTATTCTCATTCGGAATACACTATATACATTTGGGATCCAATAGTGGAACGAAACAATATCAATATATTACAGATATGGCGCTGTAGAAATGACTAGTTTTAAACACAAGTGTATGATAGCCTAATTGGTTTACTGTCCGTCGTTGAGAGGTTTTATTTATTGTAAATGTATAACCTATTTTAGAAACGATATTTCCGATGTGACTATATATTCGAACAACTCACACTACACAAATGTAAATCTATCTCACAGCATCATTATTGTTTATTATATGATTGATCTATATGAAATATTTGTTCTTAGTTCCGAACAGTATTATTTTTAACGATGAAATATAAAAAAAGGTATTATCATGTCGCAGAACCTGGTGGCATGCGACAGCCGTGTGACAATGACAACGACTGCTTCATCAGTGGTTCCTTGTGCTACAACGGACGGTGCATGTGCACCCCGGGTCTCAGCTATCACAAGGCGGGGCAAGCGTGTGTCAGAAGTGAGTACCTAATAATGGCGAAATGTCTTTACATGCCTTGCTTGAACATCGTTTTGTCAAAACCTTCACTGTCAGGGTACTAACGATGAAAAAAGAACTTCATTAAACCCAGGCTTGTCGTCAACCGTCGTCTATGGTACAGGAAATACCATTTGATATTGTGGTTGATGTGTGTGTATTGTCTGTTATGTGTCTGCAATAGCACATGGGCGGCTTGTAGGTAGTGAAACTTGTGTTTTACACCTATAAACGCATGGCTATAAACGTTCATATTGTACATCGTGGTGCATGAAAGCTTTCCGCTATGTAGGAAATAACATTTTGAATTGCTACATAGATGAGAGTACAGTGTGTCGCATTGCTGGAGTACTTTACGCTTTATGGAATATATTTCGGCGGATAATTGAAAATGGTTATTCTCTGGCGTTGACGTAAAATATGTATGTACTTGAGCAGTGAGAGAGAGAGCGAGAGAGAGTGAGAGAGAGAGAGAGAGGGAGAGAGAGAGAGAATGAGATCAGAGAGAGTGAGAGTGAGAGAGAGTGAGAGTGATAGAGAGAGAGTGATAGAGAGAGAGAGGGAAAGAGAGAGAAAATAATGTTTATTATAGTGTCACATACATGTTATATATACACTTCATACTAAAACACGTTTACAAACAATAAAATATAACATACGACCAGGTATGGTCTGGACACTGGACATAAAATCATATGTATAACGTCATGATCCGGATAAGATAAATTAAGACATATACCAACACATGTACAATGTTCAAAGTTAAGTTAAGTTATAATGAAATTCGTTGAACACACAGACACACACACATGCAGACGCACACACACACGCGCACACACACACACACACACACACACACACACACACACACACACACACACACACACACACACACACACACACACACACACACACTCTCTCTCTCTCTCTCTGTCTCTCTGTGTCTCTCACACCCACACACCCACATGTGATACAGTCCAACCCCGACGTCTCGAACTTCTTTGGACCAGAGAAATAGTTCCACTTCAATGCTGTTCCACAGAATGGTCCCTATGTGATATGAACAACATTTATATCATAAGCAATACAACCAGGAGCATTTGTTACATCATTACATTTATGTATCTATACACGGTCTATGCCAATTCTGTCTTGTGCTGAATTATATCATGCTGACGTATCAGGGTACGTTTTAACGTAAAGAAACTCTTGGTACTGCGAGTTAGAGACAACCCCCCAAGGTGTCGCTCGTCTGCGTAAACTATTGTCACTTAATCAGATCAGAATATCGATAATTACGCAACATTTATTAGCAGGCCGTGTTTGCAAAATGTTTTAAACGTAATCAAAGTTAACGTTTCAAGGGGTGGTCGGGTAGCCCAGTGGTTAAAGCGTTCGCTCGTCACGCTGAAGACACGGGTTCGATTCCCGACATGGGCACAATATGAGCCCATTTCAGGTGTCCCCCGCCGTGATGTTGCTGGAATATTGCTAAAAGCGGCGTAAAATCATACTCAGTCACTAACGTTTCAAAATAAATAGACAAAAAACAAAACAAAAGCGTCGTAGCACAGTTTGCGCTTGGTAGTTGTTCTCGATATGCAGTGATCAATGATATGATGGATAACAACGTCTTTATTTACTGTTAACTCGACGTTTCGGTATAGGTCCTTATACCGTTGTAAAGCAAGGCTGGTTAATAAACCCGGTAAAGAATATTTATAGTATGTGAGGGATGACTTGTCTGGCATGATATGGATTTATGTTTCTTCGTCTTGAACTAATACTAACGCACATGCTTGTATTTATAGAGTGCACGGTGTATGGGAAGACTATGTCCATGTATGAGGGGCTGGGAATAATTGGTCACAATAGAGAAAGCAGGCAAGTTCAATCAAAGGAAACGTGCATGCTTCTGTGTACAACCCGGACAGACTTTTTGTGTTTGAGCGTCGACTTTCACATTGTACGATTAGAGTGCCTTATGTCGACGTATGGGTATCTCGACGTCGACCAAGACGACAGGGAGACTGGCCAGAATAATTGGCTGCTTGGAACCCGAGATTGTGAATAATGCTATGATGTGCGAAAATGTTGAAGAATCCCCAATCTTATCACGTTGCTGGTGTATTGACACTAAATCCCATGATAAAACAAAGTAGGATGTTAAAATATCCATTGTTGCTGTGACAAGTAAGTCAATCTGTTGAACAGGATAACTGTCTTCACCCACATCAGCTATTTCATGTATGGAGACGACATTAAAGATTTGATGTTGCGCATAATTGAGTTGATCATGATTTTTAGTCGTTTTATTGGAGTGTTTCATGCCAAGCGCTTCATCGACATATAAAAAAGGACTGTTTCTCCAAGGGACCGTGCGGATAAATGACACTATCAAGTTGAACTACACTACCATATCTTTTATTGCATGGTACATTGACAACTTCAGACTAAAAAATGCTAAAGGCATATAATGTGTCCTAGGTTTTCTGGTGGGATTCACGATGCATAGCACATGTTGTAAACGTGTTCCTGTTGATCTGGTGGGATTCGCGATATATAGTACATGTATATAACGTGTTCCTGTTGATCTGGTTGGATTCACGATATATAGTACATGTATATAACGTGTTCCTGTTGATCTGGTTGGATTCGCGATATATAGTACATGTATATAACGTGTTCCTGTTGATCTGGTGGGATTCACGATATATAATACATGTATATAACGTGTTCCTGTTGATCTGGTGGGATTCGCGATATATAGTACATGTATATAACGTGTTCCTGTTGATCTGGTGGGATTCACGATATATAATACATGTATATAACGTGTTCCTGTTGATCTGGTGGGATTCGCGATATATAGTAGATGTATATAACGTGTTCCTGTTGATCTGGTGGGATTCACGATATATAGTACATGTATGTAACGTGTTCCTGTTGATCTGGTTGGATTCACGATATAAAGTACATGTATATAACGTGTTCCTGTTGATCTGGTGGGATTCACGATATATAGTACATGTATATAACGTGTTCCTGTTGATCTGGTGGGATTCGCGATATATAGTACATGTATATAACGTGTTCCTGTTGATCTGGTGGGATTCACGATATATAATACATGTATATAACGTGTTCCTGTTGATCTGGTGGGATTCACGATATAAAGTACATGTATATAACGTGTTCCTGTTGATCTGGTTGGATTCACGATATAAAGTACATGTATATAACGTGTTCCTGTTGATCTGGTGGGATTCACGATATATAGTACATGTATATCACGTGTTCCTGTTGGTCTGGTGGGATTCACGATATATAGTACATCTATATAACGTGTTCCTGTTGATCTGGTGGGATTCGCGATATATAGTACATGTATATAACGTGTTCCTGTTGGTCTGGTTGGATTCACGACGTATGGTACATGTATATAATGTGTTCTTGTTGATCTGGAGTGTGTAAGTGAGTTAATATTTTAAGTCACATCGGAAATTTTCCAGCCATATCGTGACTATCAAGGGTTAAACAGGCATTGAGACTTATATAATATCCTGCCAACAAAGGACAGTAAAATAACTAGACGTATCACAGAAACTAGTATGGACTCATAAAATGGATAAAACTACGTAACAATACATGATAAAAACGGGCTATAGATCGCCAGCAATTGAAGGTAGATCACCAAACTAGGGACCATGGGGACTTACAGTACTTTTGCTTCCTGGATTTACATCATCCCTTCAAGTGTTGTCGATTATTGATGAAGTTAGCCTAACATATTAAAATGACACATATTCTACGAATAAAAACGTGGTAGTTCTAAATTTACTTTGAAAGACGTGGAACGTACGTATCCTCTCAGGGGGACAATAATTTTACAGTACCTTAACCCCCTTCGAGGATACAGCCACTAACAATCGCAGTTGTTAATTTAATCTATCAAATTTAACACATTGTTTTTACACAAAGTATATGATAATTATAATAATCAAATGTTTGCAAACAATTCAATATCCTTTAAAAAAAACTATAATTAAACGAGAATTAATACTAGTAGAACGATCCTTAAAAGATGATGATTTGAAATATTGATCCCTTGTGATTGGAAAATCAATACAGTCAAGCAGGACATGCTTGACTGTGATTCTTTCATCACAAGGGATACAAAACGGAGGATCCTTATCTTTTGATAAACAGTCATGTGTATATCTGCTGTGGCCAATACGACATCGTCGCATAATGACCTCTTCAAATGTGGACTGACAGCCCAAGTAGGTGCAGCCGATATTTGGATTAATTTCATGTAAGGTATTGATACCTACTTGGGAGTCACACTTCTTTTGCAGGAGATCTTCAATGTTACATCTAATAACAGGCTTGATATCACTGTATGGGATTTGAAGTGGTGTCACAGATTTGTTGAGCGCTGCTTTAGCAGCTGCATCAGCCATTGTGTTATCAGTTATTCCAACATGGCTGGGTAACCAACAGAAAACGATGTTGTACTGGCCAGTAGCAAGATCATTATATAATTCAATAATTTCGATTAAAAGTGGATATGTATATGACATATTTTTGATAGCCTGAAGACACGAATGAGAGTTTGAAAATATTATGAACTGCTTATGCTTACATTGACTTTGAATATGTTTAAGAGTTGTTAAGATGGCATGTGATTCGGCGTTGAAAGTTGAACTGTCATGTGGTAACCTGGACGAGATAGTTCTGGATCAAATGACAGTAGCAACTGCGTCACCATCCTTGTATCAATCAGTAAATATAGATTTTTATGTGTCATACATATTTCGCAGTAGGTTATGTTCTTGTTGATAAATTAGTGGATTGGTTTGTGATTTCTTTATTGTTGTTAAAGTCAGGTCTACCTCTGGCTTTATCAGTTGCCAAGTGGGTGAAGACGAAAGGCGATAAGGAGAAATAGTATCAAGGTTTATAGATGCAGCTGGAATGGCAATTTATATTCTTATTCCAAGAGGGGGAATAAGAAACGATTTCTTTTGGTAAAGTTCCTCATATAGAGGATGAAAAACGCAGTGGTATGCAGGATTTGATCGGTTTGAAGATAATTAAGTGACATACTGTAAAGATAATTTTATACGTTTAAGCGATGGCTAGTCAGCCTCTACATATAGACTATTTATTGGAGATGTTCTGAAGGATCCCAGGCAGAGTCTTAGTCCTTGATGATGAATAGAATCATGAATTTAAAGATTACTTCTGCTCCTCCATCAACGATGGAGTCGTAATTGAGTTTTGAACGTATGAGAGCGCTATATAATTGAAGGAGGGTCTTCTGATCATCTCCCAATTTGAATTTGAAACGACTTTTAATGAGTCGAGCGCCTTAAGGTACTTTGCTTTCAGGTAGTTTTATATGGGGTTTAAATGTCAAATGGGTATCAATAATAAGACCCAAGAACTTCCTTTACAGTCTTGATAGGTGTGCTATCCAAATTTAGTTCAGGATCTTGATGTGACCTATATTTTCGACAAAAATGGATACAATCGGTCTTGGCTTTAGAAGATTTAAGGCCATTTTCTAGCGACCATTTTTGAATTTTATTTAGACATAATTGTAATTGTCTTTCTATTGAATGCATATCTTTACCACGACAAGATATGTTAATACCGTCCACGAAAATCGATCCGTCTATAGAATCATTTAAAACCTTAGAGAGGCTATTTATCTTAATACAAAATAGTGTAACAGACAAAATTATTGTTGGACACCCTGATCCTGATTATAATGATCAGACAGGGTTGAGGCCACACGGACTTGAAATTGTCTGTCAGTTAAAAATCTGGATATGAATTGATGCAAACGGCCTCTCAATCAAAAATCATGTAAATCTTTTAAAATCCCGTGTTTCCAGGTAGTGTCATATGTCGAAAAACTGCATGCTGGTTATTAATTCTTGCATTTTTTACAAACGACTCTAACCGAACTAAATGGTCAACAGTACTTCGATTCGATTGCCACATTGGATATTCGAAATTAAATTATTTTGATTCAATGTACCATGATAATCAATTGTTGACCATGCAAACGCACCTGGTCAATAAATGGGTCTATAATTTGATGGATCGGTATGATCCCGTCCAGGTGTCCGTATGGGGACTACTGTGGCATCACGCCATGAAGAAAGAAAGTTACCTGATGTCCAGATATCATCAAAAATTAACAAAAGGGTTTCTAAACACGGTTCTGGTAAGTGCTTCAGGAGTGGATAGTGTGTATTATTAGCTCCTGTAGCAATATCGTGAGCCTGTTCAAGAGCAGTATTAAGCTTATGGATTGAAAATATTTCATTATAATCTTCCCCATTATCTGATTTGAAATTAATCGTTATCTTTTCTTGCTGTTTTGGGTATTTTTGGAATTGAGCTACATAGTTTGAGGAGGAAGAATGTTTTACTAACGTTTGCCCGAAGTTTATTTTCAATATCCGATTTTTTAGTTAATAGTTCATCCCCATTCTTAAGATTTTCTGTATCATGTTCCATATCTTAGACATGGGCGTTCGTGAATTTTTTTTGGTAACATAATTTTGCATTGCATTGAGGATCATATCTCAGCCGAGCAATTCACTGTGCAGATCTGCGTCCCTATGATCGTGGATTCGAATCCCTGTTCGCCCTGATTAGGTTTCTAGGCTTGTCAGCACCATACCCGTGCTCGCGAGTTTCACGAAAGTGGTAAACGTCTATGACCTGCATCACGTCGGGCTTTCCTCTAACATCAAGCTGGCGGGCAGTGATTTAGCTGTTCACAGTGACGGTAAACCCAACCCATTCATTTATTCAATCGTACTCTGAGGATGTGTAAAGAAAAGTATGACACGCGTATTGCGGTGAAAGTGGTCATGATGACTCTAACAAGAACAAAAACTGTCAGGTGTAACAGCTTCCGGCCATACCGGCAAATAGTCGGCTCATGAATGTCCTGTTGGTAGACAACTCATGTCGTGGAGTTTAATGTACTTCAAAACACCCGTGAGTATTACGATTACCCAGTCCCCCAAGCTTGTTTCTTAGAGCCAACTAATGACGATCGTTTGGGTACAAAGTGTGTCTTTGGTTCATTTTGTATCAAAGTTGCCGACGACTAATGCTATCAACCACATGTCCATCTGTCCCCCCAAATGACAGTTTATTTACAGGGATCGGGGAGATGGCTATAATATTACTGACCCTAGCGTAAAACAACATGCACTCACTGACTCATTTCATACCCTGATTTCCCTCCCATTACACCAAGCAGCACAAACCTATAGACATTAATATTACTCCCTATGAAATTTTGCTTGTGTACAAGCTTGAACGAATCTCCTGAGACCTATGGTGATGATCCGCATGGTTTGTTTTTTCTGAGACATAATTATGTAAAAGGCAAAGAAAGTTGAAACTTGAATGCACCTATTCAAAAGTTAACACTTTGAGAGTAATGAAAGTTAGCATCTCTGTCAATCCATTCACTCAACACTGCGGCGACACTAGCAAGGGAACAACCTCGACTGAAGATTGTTCACTGATTGTATGCATCAGGAAACACAACACTATGTTTAGTATTGTGCTACAACACGACAAAGCCAGGCAACCGAACAAACTCCACTGCATCGTCATCAAAACGTGTATCTACATCAGTGAACTTGACTCGACAGAAGGGCGGTTTTGTCAACTGATATCCATGTACCCAGTTTCAAGTATTTATATTGCTTGTTTTCGCCAGAATCAGCTTTCACGGTGTAAGCTTTCAAATACCTCACGGGCTATCTATTACATACAATGTCCTTATATGAGCTTCCCCGGATGTCTGTGTTGTAGGATACAACTTCCTGGTCTAAAGCGCAGGACATTCTTGACATAATGTATACAAGGGACACGGATCGAATCACAACCTGCAGTTGGATCACTCAACTTATTTGTGACGTTGTTCTGTGCAGATAGTATAAGATCCGGACATCTGTGGTACGTATAGAGTGTTGACGATGGATAATGCTGTGTCTGTTATAACAATGTCATGATGATCACTGTTATCAACATGGATATCTCCACATGAAGTTATGGCCACAGATGGAGGAATGGTGTTCGGTGTTAATTGTGTGTAATAGGGTTGTGGGTGATCAAATAGCTTATGAAATGCTCTCTTCCTCCACAGATGACACCACGTGTGAACGCAGCATGTGCGTGACTTTAATCTACTAGCGACATCGCCGTTCAAGTGGAGGGGATGGAGTATATCCGTGTCCTGTTCCTGCTATGAGGATGTATGCCCTGTGTTGATGGTCAGTCACTTTTGTTCAATTTGTAAATTTCTATAATTTTACTTCATCATCATCATCATCAACATCAACATCATCATCATCATCATCATCACCAGCAGCAGCGGAGGCGTCATACAGCGCATCTAACACGTCACTGTTTTGTTGTTCATGTGTCATAACTCCACAACTTCCTATTTTCTTTCATTATTCCGAGTGAAATGTACATATCGCGTAATGTAACAACCACGCGCCCACTTGAATAATATGTTCTTTTCACACATTTGTAACATACCCAGCGATAGAGTTTCTCCTAGATATTAGATGCAAAATGTTTACCTGGTGATAACATTAAACTAAAGCAAATTTACTGATGGCATATATAATAACTTACTGTCGTAAATTTGAGCCAAGGCACAATCAGGGATGTTTGTGATAGCTTTAAATATTTACGACCTTGACATTCACCCTTAAAACAAGAGTTGCCAAGACGGCTTGCTCCTGTACTTTGCAAAATTGATGTGCCCTAAAAGTCGACGTATTTTTGTGTCCTGGGTCTTTAGCACTCAACTGTGATATTGTAACATAACACCCACAAACAATCTGTTCCGAGCTAAAAGCGTCTACTGGTGCGTGTGTAAACAAATGGCTACCGAGGACATGCCCTCTCTCTCTCTCTCTCTCTCTCTCTCTCTCTCTCTCTCTCTCTTTCACGTATTTCTTCTCTTATATCTGTACCAAGACAAGCTTGTGATGAATTATTCCTTATTTGGCGTTGAATGGAAAATAACTGCTGTGAAACCCCGATATTACGAACGGTACAGTTTCCTGAGAAATTGCCCATATTAACAAATACCGAGTATATGTAGCCTCTCTCTCTCTCTCTGTCTGTCTCTCTCTCTCTCTGTGTCTCTCTCTGTGTCTCTCTCTGTCTGTTTGTCTCTCTCTCTCTCTCACACACACACACAAAATACCAAAATACGGGGAACCTTATAAATACTAACACTGTACACCCTATAGCTAAGATTGCTGTAAATTTGGATGCAGGATGGATACCTCCAATTGACAGTGACAGGCATATATATATATATATACTCACACGCAAAAGAAACGCAAGTCGAGTATGCTGTATGCATGTTATTTATTTTCAACAGTAAAGAGAAGAAAGTCTAGTAGGGCGAGATTGACAAAAATTTGACTGAAGACAGTTTAATGGATTAAAAGTCAGATGACATAATTGTTTTTTTCAAATGTTAAGGGCGTACACAGTTTCGGGTCAATACCCAAAAATGTCAGTCAATACCCCGTGTGACCACTATTAGCATTGATCACTGCCACAAATCTCCTGTACATTGAGTGGATCAGACGATTTATGAAGGCCCTAGGGATCCTCCTGCACGCATCCAGAGCAGCTGTGCGTAGTTCATCGGCAGTTGTAGGGACTGGGCGCACATTGTGCAGACGCCTTTGAACCTCATCCCACAAGTGTTCTTTTGGGTTCAGATCAGGGCTGAAGGCTGGCCACGGTAGAACACGGATGTTGTGTTGTTGCAGAAAGGCCATGGTAGCTCTGGCAACATGGGGACGAGCGTTGTCCTGCTTGAAACTGGGTTGTTGATGTTGTGCAAAAAATGGAACAACGTGGGGTCTGATCACTTGGTCGATATACCGCCGAGCAGTGACGCCGTGTCCCCGACCTTGACCAACATTCAGAAAGCACATGGGTCCAAGTCTCGCATTAAGTCCAATCCCTGCCCTTATCATGACGCTAGCCCCCCCCCCCCCCAAAAAAAAATGAGGTAAATGTTCACTCGGTGTACGTGTAACACACACACACACACACACACACACACACACACACACACACACACACACACACACACACACACACACACACACACACAGACAACACACACACACACAAAACACACACAACTGGGTTTGTTATATAATTATTCGTTAAACCGATCTATACATGAATATGACAATTAAATATATTATATTAAAAACACCCCTTAAATTAACATATACAGTGGGAAAAATATAAACAACAATTACATGTGTTTTTGGGTCATGAGGGCGTATGAACAACTCTATGAATACAAATGTTCAGAAAACTCTTTTATCTCACAGGGTCTGTTCAATTGACAAGATTTGCAACAGGACACACTTACACCCTGATCTGCAGTAGCATCCCCGGCAGCCCGACCATCGACTGGTACTGGAACTCTGAGCTCGTCATACGTACACGTACACGTCAAAGACATCAATGTGCTCACGAAAGCCCGGTCAGTTACAATTATAGCACCTACCTATCAGCACGTGTCAGTGTGAGATGCGATGTCCTTCATCACAATGTGACTCTCAGGATCAACTCTACCATAGATGATGGGTCTGAATGGCAGTGTGAGGATGTGAGGCGGGACAGGAGCAACTCTATAATTATAAGTGAGTAGCTATGATCCATTGTTTGTTTGTACATGTGTTTGTTGTCTAACACCGCACTGAACAATGCTCTGGTCATTTGACCGCGGGGGCCTGTATATAAGCGTGTCTCCACCAGACAATACAGTGGTTGATATCACGAGCAACGCGCCCGATCACCCGATCCATTCAGTCACCTTTTTCTACCAGCATACATGTAGTTTGCTAATCCGGAATCCCTACAGCGGTATGATCGATGGAATATCTGTTATAGTCAGGCAGCTTAGTAAGATGATGGAGACATGCCGGATAAAAGCACCAATTGTTTTTCACGTGCTCTCCATTACCATCGGTTTAAATTTTTGATGGGAGCCACTTAATCAAGGTGGCTGATGGCGGCCGTCTTGTATTTCCTAAATGGCCGCCATGATATAGCTATAAGTGCCAATATCTCGGCTTCCAAACCACTTCGAAGGTCAATATTGGTGTCAAAATATACATTTTCTAGGGCAAGGAATGCAATAAAGCTATTAAGAATGTCACTAGATGACTATTTATGTCATTTATCAATCAATATGTTTAGGATACATGTCTGTTTAGCGACTTGTACTGTTATGTCTGTTTAACAACTTGCAGAGCTACAGATAAGCAGAGTTTTTGCATAAAATACCCCCAAACATGTTATAAACCCAATTACTTTCAATTAACCTGTGTACAGAAACGCATGCAATAAGTGAAAAACTCAAACGTATAAAATCAGTACGCGTAAATACCAAATGAAGCTTTTTCAGCATGCATACAAATGAGATAATATTCTGAAATACATAATATAATGAGACAATTTACTTTGCGAGTAAAGCCGATATATCTAGAACAGTTATATATATACGTCTAAAACATCATTTAATTTTTTTCAATCTTAAAATGTTTACACATTTTAGGAAAATCTCAATAGATTGATGAATTGATGAGAGAAAAAATATTGGTTACCCAATGAAAAATGTAATAACTCAATTAAAATCAAACCATGGAGTAAAAACTCAATTGCTCAGTAATCTGGAGCTCTGAATGTGTACTGTTATATGTCTGTTTAGCAACATGACTGTTGTTACAGACTGTCATTTGTTTTTACAAATTTCATTCGTCCATAAAATGGATTGGGCATTGTGTATCGTATGCCAAAAGCGTACCACTGAAGCATTCCGATGCTCTTTAAATGCACCGAAGCTGAAGACAGATCTGAGCCATACAAATCCTTCCTAGACAATGTGAATGCTTTCAGAGAACTGATCAATAAATTGCCAGTACCCCTCACTTTTGGAAAAGGACATTGATGAGGATATAAACTGAGCGGCAAAAGAAAGTATAGGTTGGCAATTTGTAATTTTCCTAAAAACAGTGATAACTAGTGGAAAGTGGTTATTGCGAATATGACTGCCGAGGAACAGGTACCCAAAAAACACCTCACCCGAATGCGCCACCTTTGACGGCACTCGCGCGGTGACAAAAACATGGTGAAACAGGTTTCCTGCCTATGGCATAAACTGTACGTGCATGTTAGCTGTATAAATGCGTTCTCCTGCAGGGTATAACCACACGTGATGAAAGCACACAAAAGAAATGCCACGGCTGTCACATGAGCAGAGAGAGCGAGCCATCTGTATGGCCGAAATGGGGGCAACACAGGTCCAAATTGCCAGAAGGTTTGGTTGTACACCATTGACAGTAGCCAGGCTGATTCAACGGTACAGGCAGACATAGAGGACACAGGACGGGCCTAGAACTAAACGACCCCGGGTGACAACACCACTGGAAGACGGTCAGATAAGGCTCATTCACCTGCGAAACAGATTCGTAACGGCGACGGCAGCAACAACGTTGGGACATCCCATTAGCCAACGTACAGTCCTACGACGACTTCGTGCTGCTGGAATCCGAGCGTATCGTCCTTTCCGAGGAATGGTACTGACTGCTCAACATCGACGCCTGAGACTGCGATGGGCGAGGCAGGTTCGACGCTGGCAAGTGAGAAATTGGCGTCGAGTGCTGTTTACTGATGAAAGTCGGTTGAACTTGTTTCGAAATGACGGCAGAGAACGAGTTCATCGACGCAGAGGGGAACGTTTGGCTCCGGCGTGTATTCGAGAGGTCCATCCATTCGGCGGGGGAGTGTCATGGTGTGGGGCGGTATTTGTGGAGATCAGAAGACTGATTAGGTGAATATACAGGGAAACCTGAACGCTGTGCAGTACAGAGACCAAGTGTTGCAGCCAGTTGTGCTTCCGTTCTTACAAAACCAACAGCAGGGGACACTGTTTCACAGGACAATGTCAGGCCCCATACTGCAAGACTGACTCGGAACTTTCTAAACCAGCAGAACGTTGACGTTTTCCCCTCCCTGCCCACTCACCTGATATGAATCCTATTGCACATCTGTGGGACCATCTTGACAGACAGATTAGAGCACGCCATCAGCCTCCCCTCAACAGACAAGAATTGCAGCAGGCCCTGAGAGACGAGTGGCAACAGATTCCAGTCCACGTCATCAGAAGACTGACGTCATCGACGAGGCGGCGTATCACAGCATGCATTGAGGCAGCTGGAGGTCAAACACGTTATAGAAGGCAACTATATCGACAATGAACTTGTAGTGTGTCTGACAATTTTTTGGTGACATTTCAGCCAACTTTTGAAAATGAAATTTCTTACCCAACCATTGTTTACCTTGAGTTGACATTACCTGTGGATGCACAATTTCATTCAAACTGTGGTTGATCAATCATTTGTTACCCCTCCCTAGATTATATTATAATTCACAACAAAACCTCTTCTTGTTATTTATTCTACGATCATGGAACTCGACCTATACTTTCTTTTGCCGCCCAGTTTATCATGCGAGGCTTGTAAAAATAAAATATAAAACGTCAATGCTAAAGAATATTAACAAGTCTCGATTTTCCAACGAAACTGGTTCCTTTGATCGTAGAAGCCACAATAGCAGTGCCAATGACAACTTCATTGTTTCTAAGGGACATGCAATTTATTGTGCAGTCATACACGGCAGGCAGGAGGAGGACACAGGTTTTGTTGGTTCCACACAATTTGCACTTATTGGAAGTCGAACTCGGGCCTTTGGAGTAACGAGCGAAGGCTTTAACTGCTAGGCTCCCTAAACACACCGGTTCCTTCCTAGGATATGGCATGTTCTGGTCTTGTTTATACAAAGTACGCAGTATACAATATTTTGTTTCAAATCTTCATCTTCGGAGATGGCTTGGGAGTAATCCATGCCACTTCAACCCTCTGAGGTGATCTGTGCCATTCGGTTACAAGCCCAAAGGCCATATTATTGAGCCTGTGCTGAATACGTCGTTGAATTCAAACGCACCTATTTACTTGTCTGTAGATGAGATCCAGAGCTGATCGTTTTCCAGAGTAAACAAACATATGGATTATAACACCACTTAACACATGATGGCACAAGCGAATGTTTGACTATGGAATGCTTTTAAAAACTTCTTTTCACATATTCTAGTACTGCTTCGTTTATGTTCTTTTCGTGTACATATTGACATTGACAATAAGTTCAACGTCAATCAATCCTCATCTGTAGAAGCATCATGTGCAGCAGCATCACCTACAGCAATATCATTTGTAGAACCATCACCTTACAGCAACAACATATCCAGCAACATAACCTATAGAAACTGCATCTGTAGCAATTGCCTGTATATAGCTACATCAGAAACAGAAACAGCATTTGCAGCAATATCACCCATAGCAACTGCATGTGAAGCAACACCACCAAATTATCAACAGTATATGCAGCAACATCAACTATAGCAACATCTGTATTGACGTCTTTTGTAGAAGACTCACCTGTAGCAACATCATTTGTAGGAATATCTTTTTCCTACAGCTAGAAGTCCAGTAGGAAAGCCATCAACCGACCTACCTGAGGGATCTACATTTTCCTCAACGTTTGACGGTAATTGTAGTAACTTTTCATTTTCGCTAAAATCACCTATTGCAACGTCTATATTAACGTCTTGTGTAGAACAATCACCTGTAGCAACATCATTTGTAGTAATATCTTTTTTCTACAGCTACAAGTTCAGTAAGAAGGCTATCGGTTGACCTACCTGAGGGATCTACATTTTCCATACCTTTGGACGGAAATTGTATTTCCTCTTTTCATTTTCGCTAATACATCTGAAACTGAATACCATAAAAAGGTGAAATAAAACAACAACATGTGTTTTGGATTCCCTAAATAATCACAACCTACAGCTGCATACACCTCTACTGTATATATAGTTTCAGGGGTGTCCACTGCAGGCATCAATTATATAGAAATGAATAGGATTGATCCATTATAATTAAATCTTGTCCATTGCTCTAATGCGATTTAGTTCTCAATGAAATCAAGACGTAACGATTTTAATGACGCCATTTTTTTGCCAGGTTCAACAGGCACAGCAACTAGATCGACAATGACGACCATGACAACGTCCTCAGCGCCGACAACGGGTAACATTTTCAACATGTTAAGACGTTACGATGTGTATGTTAAGGCTCATTCTTGAGGTAGCCTAATTTTGATGTTGTAGATATTTAGATAAGCTATTTCGCTCATGCTGCTCGAATTATTAACTGTCATAAATCATTTTATGAATTTGAATAATGCAACTTAATCGTTTACATTTGCAAGTTGTCTACGTCGTTGGAGCAGGAGTTGGTGTTGTTATAACCACCGTCATTATTGTCATCGTTGTGTGTATAAGGAGAAACAAAGGACGCCACGTACGTGCAGGTAAGCGGTATTCATGACACATACACACGTTGGAGTGAGTGAGTGAGTTGAGGTTTACGTAGTTTTGAACAGTAATGTTATGGCACTTCACTTTGAAAGTCCGTAGTCATGTAGGTCTTAGATGTTTACCACGTTTAGTGAAACCCACGAGCAAAGGTACGTAGCTGTAAAACCTAGAAACACATACAAGGCGAACACGGATATGAACTTATCATACCCCCCCTACACACACACACCACACAACCCCACCCCCCACACACCCCACCCCCTCCCGCCCCTACACACACACCACACAACCCCACCCCCCACACACATGCCCCTCACACCCCACCCGCACCCGCCCCTACACACACACCACACAACCCCATCCCCCCCACACATGACCCTCACACCTCACCCCCACCCACCCCCACACACACACCACACCCACCCACCCCCCACACACATGACCCTCACACCCCACCCCACCCACCCCCACACACGTGCCCCCACTTGAAACTTGAGTCAGATGAGTTGTTATCTCATAATATACCACATACCATTTTTGATTTGTATTTAGCTCACCATCTTATAACTAAACAACCAACAATGTAATGATAACCGTACATAATTCTGCTTATTGTTACCTACAGTCAATGAAGTGGACAGTGCGACAGATCACCTGACATCAACACCCACCTACCACAACGAGTAAGTGAATGTTATATATTTGCATGCATTAAATATAGCACAAGGCAGCATAAAGTTGACTCACAAGATCTGAAACACTTCTAGAAATTGCTATGAAAGTTATCCGACGTTTAAATGAGAATAGTGAGTGAGTGAGTATGGTTTTACGCCGCTTTTAGCAATATTCCAGCAATATCACGGCGGGGGATACCAGAAATGGGCTTCACACATTGTACCCATGTCGGGAATCGAACGCGGGTCTTCGGCGTGACGAGCGAACGCTTTAACCACTAGGCTACCCGACCGCCCCTTAAATGAGAATAAGACTTTGCTCATTTCAACAATTGCATATTTGGGACTGATATAATGACAACACCAAATGCATAAGTTAGAATAAAATGTGTCAAAAAAGGCAGATTGCAGAGGTTTTCATGAAGTGTTGTCCTGGTATTTGAACATGAGCAAGTCCTTGACCCAAGCTGATTGTAATTAGAAATGAACATCAACACACTACAAAGATATCGTAAAACATTCATCTTGGGTCGCAGTCTTTCTTATACTGAGATTTTCATTTGAAATTCTAAAGGTTTGCCATTTGCATTCATTTTAGCCTATTTATAATTATGTTTTGAATGAGCCTAATACATGTCAGACTTGTGTGAAGGCAATAAAGCAGAAGGCAGCCTTTGAACATGTATAATACTGTTCATACAAATATTTAAGAGTTTCCAGCAACTCGAAATTGGACATTTCCAGTGAGCCGTAATTGATTGTTATCCTACATCTTCTATAATAACGTTGTTCACATGGTCATGGGTTCAAATCCCAGATTCGCCGTGATAATGTTCATTGGTTTGTCAGCACCACACCCCTGCTTGTTGGTTTCACCAAATTTATAACGTTAAAAAGGTGACTTCTGGCTTTTCTCCCACATCAAGCTGACACGCTCGTGATATAACTGACGTACTGGTCAGAGCGGCGTTATATCTAATTCTCTTTGCAGGTTTTCTTCATGACTAACTTGTATGATATGTATATTTCAGTGTCTCGGGGATACGGGTCCAGCAAGACACTGGAACTGTACTTGGTAAGTTCGTAATAGTGCAATGGACTATGTTTACTTGTTTGCACACTCACTGTGAAGTGCACCGCATACATAAATCATCTGCGACAGCTCATACCTTTACCATTGTATTTTCCAGTGGACAATGACATATATGAGGGTTGGACTGAGGTCACATCAATTAGTCAGCCCACAGAAAATGATCACGTTGTGGCAGGTTCGTGCATTCTTATTACACATGCTTTACAATGTTTCTAGTTCAAATTCGAAAGTTACTGATGTAGTTAATTGAATCAATGTAATGTAACCAATGTAATAATTGTAGCAGACAAACTGACACGTTTTGCGGTAAAATATGATGAGACTTGCCGGGCGCGAGTTCGAAGAGATATAGATTTCTCCAGGATCATTTTCCTTGGGTTGTCAGCACCATGTACTGGTTTGTGATTGTTACCAAGGGTACTTATAAACGTCTAAGACCGCGATACAACAGATATACTGCTGAAAGCGGCCTTCAAACAAATTTGGCACCTTACTGGTCAAAATATAATATATTCTGAAGTAGATCTGCGACATGCTTGTCCCTTTAAAATGAAATATTAGGTCTTTGAAAGGCATTTAGAAGTAAAACACATAAGGAAGAGAATATATGGATGTCAACTTCTTTATTATGAGAAACACAACGTTTCGGTGTATATGCTTACTCCTTCTTCTGATGAAGGAGTAAGCATATACTCCGAAACGTTGTGTTCCTCATAATAAAAAGTTGACATCCATATATTCTATCACTTAACAGAAATATTGATTACATTGATGTTCTGACGTTCTGAAGCACATTGTGAGAGGCCTTGGAAATGACTTTGCATGTTCCATTAGATCTGTATGCCCAAGTTCAGAAACCCAAGAAGGCGAAGATGGCACACACAGTTAAAGCTGAATACGTCAACATAAAAGATCTGGACGCAAAACCTGACAAAAACCGGGAAGAAGCAGTAGTAAACATGTAAGTCCTGAACGCTTCACTCATCTGAATCGAACAATAAGGAGAACAAGTGACTCAAAACATAACTTGATTCTGAATATGATAATAAACTACTGGTTATAGTTACCATGCATACAAATTACGAATGTAGTCAGTTATGTTGAACCTTGTCTCGAGTGATTGGCAAAATACCTACGATACAATAAAAAAAATAACCCATCTTTATTTCAGAGGCTGAAATGAAAAGTGAGACTCCGGAAGAAGAGATAAACTGATCGTATTAGTGAATACAGAAACATTGGACAGAGAATAGACACATGACCATGGTCATGTTTTATACATGTAGGGCTTAGCCTTTATTAGGCCCCTCTCGGGGGCACGGGTGGTCTAGTCGGCTAAGGCGCCGCGATTCGCTGTGCAGAGTTGCGTCCCTTGGGCATGCCAGAAACCTATGATTGTGGGTTCGAATCTCGGTTCGCCCCGATTGTGTTTCTAGGTTTGTAAGCACCATACCCGTGCTCGTGGGTTTCACCGAAGTGGTAAACGTCGGAGAACTGCATCACTTGGGGCTTTCCTCCCACATTAAGCAGACACGCCGCGATATAACTGGAATACTGTTAAAAGCGGCGTTAAACCCAACTCACTCACTCATTATTAGCCCCCTCTCGGAGATGTCCAAACAACTGTTATAAATTAAGTGCTGAGGTTGAAATGAAAAGTGGGTAAATATTATTATCAAATGTATTATTTGTATACATATATAACAGCTAATCTTGTTGAGGAGACGCACATTTTTCTTTGTGGTCAATTATTGTTTCAAATAAATTGTTTAAAACAATAAATGCACATGTGTCAAATGTTTTGTTGGCTTGTAACTCAGCATTATAACAACTAAATGACGACAGCATGTAATATTCGTGTCAGTGTATCAGACATGTCAGTCCGATATGATGAGCAACGCTTCACGCCGTCGGGTTACGTTGACAAGCAGACAACTTTCTAACCGATTCTTACCACCCGATCCTTTAAGTATTCTCAACTGTACAGCATAGTTTTCTGAGGCCCTGCATGTAGTCGAACCCGAAATGCACAAGGCATGTATGACATCAGTACGAACGATACATGAATGACATATCATGTACGACTGACCATGAGACACGTCAATCATGTGCACGGATGACAAACGTGTGACGTCTGTACGAGGACGAAACTATTGACAAGCCACAGAATGAATTGTCAGGTTTCTGTTTTCAAGAAACCTTTTAAAACTTTCTGATACTCCCCATGTTAACAAAGACAATTACTGCAGCTGCCTGATGTACCAATGTTAACCTATCTACCACAACATGAACAACTCGTGCATCCGGACATACCTTCTCTACAGCTTCTGGATCCCTTCAAATATCTTTGTAATTTTCAGGGTTTGTTATGTTTCACACTGAAACAAATGGGTGTAGATATAGAAGAAAGGTACCATTTGTACAAATGAGTAATATATGACATCGTAACTTCTAACATTACAGACCGCCTCCGTGGTCTTGTGGTAGAGAGCGGAAGGTCCAGGGTTCGATCCCGGGCCGCGTCATACAAAAAGACGTTAAAAGATTGTACTTGTTGTTACCCTGTCTGGCGCTCGGCATTAAGGGGCTAAAACAAGGACTGGTCGGCTCGGAGTCAGTATACAGTGTCTGAGTGGGGTATTCATGTTAAACTGCGGCATGGTATCTCAGTGAGCTAGCACTATAAATCGGCATCAGTCCGGACTAGTACAAGCAGCCACACACACACATACACATGCATGCACGTCGCTATATAAGTGCAATAATCTTGGACGCGACGTTAAACCCAATTTCACCTCACCATCTAACATTACATTTTGGCACCAAAAACTATAACCCGGTGTTTGTCAGTACATAAACATTCCATGCATCTCATTAGTCAGTTCTAATGACATGTGTAGTGAGCCCAGGCACGAGGGTTACTCTTAGGGCTATTTACATTCATGTATCTTCATGATTAAGGAGTAGCTAGGAGGAAGAAAATGGAGTAGGCTATGTTACACAATCTCGCAACACAAAACTAGCTCACATGAAAAACTTTCGGGAAAATTCCTTGATCCATGAAACATAGTCATATCTATTTATTCAAAAATTGAGAAACAATTGTCAATAATTAAGCATATGTCACCTGAAGAATGAGACAATAATATGCGATTTGCTGGACTTCCTCAAAACTCAATATATGTGTGGAAAGTTGGGATAGGACATTAAGGCAAGATGTAGGCATCCTCATGGGCAATTATTGTGTTCCGCTCTTTGGTGATCGGTTTGTCTTTATGCACATGAATCGGAATTTCTCTTCACATTGCTAAGATCGAAACAAGGAAATTTTTCCAGGAATTTTAACTTGTGCTTTAGGTGTATCGATGATCTGATGATCATACAATAATGGTCAAATAGCACCCTCCATCCCTGGTTTACCCTCCTGACCTGGAAATAAAAGAGACCAATAAGTGTTTGATCAGAATGAGAACATTCAGGGGTTAAGTACAGCTTTCAAACACATTTTATGTTAGACATGAGGAGGACATTTCCAAACTCGACACATCAGTGACAATGATCATGATCTGATGCAATTTCCTTTTGAGACTATATGTTCCAATGTTTGTTAATGTGAACATTTGACTTGACTGTTCATGTGTTTGTGACGATTGGCTCATCAGTTAACGATCAAATTGAGGATAAGTCAGCACCAATGAAGTATATCAGTTTTGAAGGTCCAGTGAAAATTTACTTATTATTTACTACACACTTAAACTTTGCACAATATCGAAATTCAACGATAAAAAATGCCGTTGTTGGTATAAATTAGGCACCATTCCTAACTCGTGGTAAGACCAGTCTCGCTTTGGGCTTTCCTCCAACATTACGATAAGACAACGTGAGATGAATGACATACTGTGCAATGTGGTATTAACCCACAGGATGCGGTGTAACGACCTCTAAAAAATAGTTTCGTTATAAATATCACTTCTTTTGTCCTTTTACTGACACCATGCACAGTGATATTTCATGTATGTTTTGAAATCTAAGCATCGGATATTTCCTCGGAAATTTAATAACCCCAAAAAACAATAGAACATATTAGTGATAATGGGTATCAGTGATTTACCAAATCATCAGTGATCATTCTGAAAATCGCCAGTTACCCTTGAGTCGTTTGCATGTTTTCCAAAATACACAAATACGAACGCCGAAGTCCACCTTCCGGCATATAGAATTGAGTTCACAAAATCACGTTTCGCGTACGCCGATTATTAGAGGCCTATTACAGCACGTTCAATAAGTTTTGTAACTTCAATATAAGACCAAGTCGCAGAATAACTTTTGCACTTTTATTTTTCATTATAATCTCCATTCTCCTCAATACGCTTATTCCATTTGCCCTTCAAGCTTTTAATACCACTTTTTATAGAAATCCGCGGATTGGCCCTCTAACCACGCCTCTGTGGCAGCCTTTATGTCCTCGTCACCCTGGAAGCGTCTTCCACGTAGGGCTGATTTCATTTGCCGGAACAGGAAATAGTCACTGGGGGATAAGTCTGGGCTGTACAGTTAAATCAGCCACCCCCGCCGTATGCAACAGTCGGTTTAATGTTCCTGGGGGTGCAGGCCATGTTCCGGTGCCTCCTAACTCTCGTTCTTTCATCAGTGACGTGGAGCAGAAAGCGACTCTCGTCTGACCAATGGATCAGCCTCCAAGTTCTCAGATTCAGTTCTGTCGCGCAATACACCATGCTAAACGAGCAGCTTTGTGGTGATCTCTCAACAAGTGACCCTTTATGACTCGTCTAGCCCTCAGTCCTGCTGCTTTCAGTCGGTTCCTGGCGGTTCTGGTGCTGAAACGACGATAGGGCAACCACACGAGTGTTTCAGACGAGTACTTGTTAAAAAGGGTTATCGGCGTATGAGACGAAGAAGGTCCCTGTCTTCGCGATGTGTCGTCACGGGAGGTCTTCCGGATCTGGGACGGTCCTGTACATCACTGGTCTGAGCATATTTCTCGACTAAACGGCTTACGACAGTGTGATGATACCCCCAATTCCGACTAATGGCATTACAAGACATTCCTGCGTTATGCATGCCGATAACTTGCTATCTTGGGGCGTTTGTTTAAAACCGAGCATATTAAGAAAACAATTTTAACGTTTGGATTTACTGGTTTTAGAGATACTTGATGGTAGCATGCTGCACGGGCATACCATGCATGGCACGTGACCTTTCGTCACGCATGACTAATTACATCTTCTCGAAAAAACAAAATTCGTCCCGTAATTCTATTTTTCATGAATGTTCCAAATATGGGGACCAAACAATAATGAAATATATTAGGGTGTGCTTAACTTATTACTTCGGATATAGTACTTCAACTAAATGGATAGAATTTGTTAGATATCCACACATGCAAACATTTGTACAAGACAGTATTTTGTTCACTAAAAGTTTGCATAAAGCTGTCAAATAAAAACATCCGTCTACTACTTTTATCGGTGGTCGAAATTTGGTATTTGTAATGTGTAACATATTTTGGACAACACTTTACGGTGTCTGTTTCTGAAACCAATCTATTATTTACATTTCATTTCACACCCTCAGAGGAGAAATTATATGTACACCTAGTGCCGCGCGGCCGCAATTCTCGCATGGCATCCACTTTGCAGCACTTATAGAAATGTGCTTCAGAAACACAACTCGGCATATAGGGGGTTGAATAAACTCCTTAACTTTATATTTACAATTATTTGCAACTGGGAAAAATGGGTGAAATATCTGCGCTCCTGAGGTTTTCACTGAGACCATATTGATGTACTTTCCTAAAGCTCGCTTTCTGCTTCCGTTGCGAATCAAATGGGAGATTCCCAAGTATTAATAGATTTTAGAGGCAAAGTTATTGATTTGAAACAATATTATCACTTACTTCGTTTTGTTTGGTACATAATGCAAAAACGGTTTTGACGTTTTCAAATATTACAACTATCAACTGTATTATCATAAAACTACATGACAATTTTCAATAAGCAAAACAGCTTTGCATAGAACAAATCAGAAAGTTACTTCACTAAAAATGTAATATTCATATTATCTGTCAAATACATGACGTCGTATTTCCTTCTTATTTTCATAATCGACTGAAACTTCTCAGCTCAGTTTAGGTGTAGGTCTGAGAGAGAGAGAGAGAGAGAGAGAGAGGGAGAGGGAGAGAGAGAGAGAGCGAGAGAGAGAGAGAGAGAGAGAGAGAGAGAGAGAGAGAGAGCAGTGCTTGTTTGAAGTAGCTTTGAGAATTATAATTCATTTGCGTAGTTTTCCTTCCTTTTTAGTTTTTGTAAGACAAGTTAGTTAACATGCACAGATAGCAACAGTAGGTACAACATTAAAGAATATTTAAATGAATAGGATATAATTTAAAGTTGATTTGCAAAACAAAATGTAAACCTTACTTGATTCATCTGAACTGAGCTCAACCATATTCCTAACTTGCTGGAACGGTTTGTAGTGAATAATTATAGTCAAACAACTTAATAATGTACAGACGTAGGACGTTGGAATATACGTATTGACGTAAGATCAGGCGCCATTTTCAATCAGCTGATCAGCTGCTTGTAAACGCTCAGCACGTGTCACACAGAAGGGACGAAGCAGAAATATAGAACACCATACAATTGCCAAGTTCCTTTGACGCCTCAATGGATATCTTCGAGTCATTATGTGGCAGTGCCGCGATGCTGACCTAGAATTATGAATTGTGACCTTGAACTTTGACCAGTGGCGATATATGATATCACTACTCTCAATTATGACAATATTTTAAAGGTTAGATTTGACTCAATGCCATATGAAAAATATGAAATACTACTTAAATGGTTTGTCCATCGTTCCATTGTTATTGGACAGAACAGAACACCTTAATTCTTCTTTTAGTTCCGTTTATGTCTTCAGCCATCTGTTCCAGTTTGTTCCCTATCGTTAGTGTGTCAGTGCATTCAGAGAATGCGTGTATCATTGTCTCTTGTCTACAATATATATTTTTAATACGTTGTGTTAAATCTATCACATTTAATAAACCAAATCGTAAGCTCTAAAAGTTGTCTTTGTTGCGATTTTTCACCTGTGTTTTGGTTTTTGTCTTTCTCACAATCTATAACTGCACGATCCTTCATTTTTTAACTCGGAGTAGCGTTTTTGTAGAATTTTCAGTAATTGCCGGACAGTAATATACTGGCTACACACTTGCGTCGAAACTTTACTAGTACTAAGATTGCTTCAACTCCCATGCTTTAGCTTAGTTGTAGTACTAAGATCGCTGAAACATGGTGGTACGTGTCAAATTTGAAGCAGGATATATGTTTCAGGATAGAGCGTATGAAAGAGCAATATTTGGCACACTGAAAATGTAAAAGCTTTAAAGTTTCGGGCAACGTTGAAATATTGGAATGCAAATGATAAAAACGTAGCAATGACTGACGACTCGCTTTTCTTCATTCTTACTCTTGTAGGTTTTGGACTGCTGACATATCCAAATACGTAACTATCACTAGGAAACTTGAAAAAGGCCGACTTTCCAACTTCAAGAGAAATTCTAAGTATTCACAAGTCTGTGATCCAATGTGATTTTTTTACCACCCTAATCTTAGATCAAATTTAAAAACTTTCTCAGGTTCACATATTAAAAGAAGTAAGAAATTCGTTGTTGTTGGTTTATCAACGTATGTTTTTAAATCTCACCGGATTTCTTGTACGGCAAAAGAAAACAATTATTATCCCAACTCTACATACAATGTACAATGTATGATGCCAGTACCTTGTATTGGAAAATAGTTTGTAACTGCTATGTGTGTAGATTTGGTGTCTTCCTTTGTTTGACCTTGATTCATCTGACAGAAATGCGAGTATCTTTAATTGTGTATGGTACTATTTGATTACAGGAATAGTTTGCGAAAATATGCTGAACAGCCAGATACATTGTAATGGAATATTAGAACCTGGTAACACCCACAATTATCTACTGCGTTCTTTACATTGATTTTACGAGCTACGTTCCATGCCATTGGAGTGGGCCGACACGCTGCGATAACTTGCGTACAAGCTTTGTGTGTGCCATTGGTAGGATTCCATTATCACTCTTGCTCTAGGAATATGGTTACCTTCAGCTAATGTTATACCACAGAAATAAATACTGAAAGAAATGTTGATGTGTAATGTGTGTTTGCACGTTACTGTCCCTTTGTCGTTTCCTCTTTCAGAATACGAAGCCGTAAGTGTACCATAATGGAATGTATTCTACGTTTCATTCATAATTGATCGTTTGTCTTTATGTTTTCCAGTGTTGAGAAGGGAATTCAACTTTTACAAACAATAAAAAATTACGTTCTGGCGTTAGTGCATACTTTAACACTCTTGTGTTGTATGTAATATTTACACTCGAACACATTATCAGCTGAGAGTCTCGTCGTATTTTTGTCCATCATTCGCGCAAAAGGAATTGGTAACGTGGGCTAAGACTCACTCCACTCCAGGGTGTAGACGCGATACAGTGATGCTGAGCACTTATCAAGATGAAAATTGACACGCAGTTTGCAGTTTGGCTGATTTGGAAAATTGTTCGTAAGTATTATTTGTGCATCATTCTTCTTGACGTACCAATATTTGTGATGTACCAATGACCGTATTATTTTCATAGTGCTCACTGTAGCATATTACTTAAACCAAAAGCGCAGTGTTATGAGTGTTTTCTTTTTTCTTGAAAAGTATGCCTCGTGCTTTTAACCTCCTTTCAGAACAATGTGTGTCTTTAAGGCGATGTAAGTATGTTCGAATCCGCTATATTGAAAAATGCGAATTTATGCTTAAAATGTAATGGAATTTGGTATATGTCTCCAAGTACTGTGACTCGACACATGTGTTAAGTTTTTTCAAAATATTCTACATTTCCACCCTGATGTTCCGTTTGTTATGCTATTGACTTTGATTTGGCCTTTGCATTTTGACCATGCGCATAATTCTCACAAAATTACGTTTTGGCTTACAGCCTTTGTAAAGCTCTTCCGAAAGTGCATGACAGAGGAAGCAGAATTGTGGCACTATGATTCTTCCTACGATAAAATCGTATATTGTTTAACAAATACAGACTTAATTTGTAGTTTTATTGTTTTCCAAGGATTTTTTCTCAAGAACGTCAAGGTTTAGAAAGCTGAACCGTTGATCAAGGCATCATGAAAGGAATGTAACTTCGGTAGACGATGTTGCAAAAAGGTTTTTTTTTCTCTCTCGAGTCTGTTTAATACATTTGCTGAAACTCAATATAAATGTTCGTCTCCATGACGACTTTGAACTGTTATATAATTAACAGACTAATCAATGCATGATAACTTACATTTGAAAATGAAAATTGATAAAAGTGTTGTTTCATTTGTTGCAAATAGAAGAAAAGCATTGATGACATGTAGTTACATAATTATCAGTAAGTCGTCATTATCTTCACCAGTAATATTAGGACTTTTAAGTGGCTTTCTTTGTTGACTACACAAGCACTAGCTATGTCACTTGATAATGACGCAAAATTAATGTCAGTAACCAAGGACTGTTTAATCGTCATTATTTCCACCACAAAGTAAATAATGCAATGTCTTTTTTCTACGATAATTCTTACAAGAGTAGCCCTCATTAATCACGCTACCCCCTCCCCATATGCATGTAACATTAGCCCCCCCCCCCCCCCCCCCCTCTATAATAAATGTAATGTCCCTATATAATTTTCTAACACACACACACAAACACACACACACACACACACACACACACACACACACACACACACACTAGTTCACCTCAAAATATACTTCGAACAGGGAAATAACCGAAATGCTTTGCAAATAAGAAACAAAATCCAAGACAACGACACAGGGTAAAAGAGTGTCCTTTACTGGGAACTTGTTGTTTGTTGAATGTTGTTTGTGTGTCAACTCCAAAGTATATTTCATTATGTGCTCCCAGCATCTAACAATGTGACCAAATGCGACAAGCAGTATACAATATGTTATTAAAATAGCGTTCCAACATTTATGACACCTACACAAATATCACGTGGATTTATATTTCAAAGTAATTAAGGGCGAAGTCTGGATGGTTGAAGCGTTCCTAAGTTCCATATCCTAGATGGATACGGTATGTAAAACCAATTTCTGGTGTCCCCCGCCGTGATATTGCTTGATTTTGTTAAAAGTGACATTCGCCCAAGCAATTTAAGCCTTGAGAGTGTTTCTTATGTATTTATAAGGCGTTATTTACATTATCCCAGCACATGTGTACTGTGGCAAGCAACTTGCGCTGAACAAACCTGCATGGATGAGCAGCGTTTATGGCCAGTCAACTTCCTTCAGTGCAGCTGAAAATTCTGTAGATGGCGATCTTCGTACACACTGGGATGATGGAGTTTGCAGTGCAACTGAACACGGTGACAGGTCGCCATGGATTGTTGTGGATCTCCTGGGACAGTACGAGGTCCACAATGTCACCATCTACAACAGAGGCGGCAGCACGTGTAAGTTGATTGTGATCGACATCATCGTCAGGAAATGTACCGGCTCAGGACATTACCTTTTCGTTCTGCGTTGTGGTTGTTTGTTTGTTTGTTGTTTAACACCCCACTCAGCAGTATTCCAGCTATATGACGGCGGTCTGTCAATAATCGAGTGTGGACCAGACAATTCAGTGATTGATTTCATGAGCATCAATCCACGCAATTGGGATCAATGACATGCATCAACCAAGTCAGCGAGCCCGACCACCCGATCCCGTCCGTCGCCTTTTACGCCAAGCATAACTTATGTTTGTGACGGGTGCCACATGTACATAGGGGCAGGATGTGCTCCTCTTTTCGCGAACACCTTCTATCACAATTATTTGATAGTGATTCACAAACATGAACACATTCATAAACACATGCTTATGATACAGTATCTGTTTGTGTCGTGCAATGGTTATTAGCAGTGAGAGATTTATTATTATCACGAAAATGGTCTTGTCATTTTTACTTACAATGCCAACATAAAATGTATGTGGAGGGAGCGTGTCTTGCTGTACCGGCCACGTTCATCCCAGTATGCATTGTAAAAGGTATTTAACGTACATAGCGATGAGAAATTTAATATGTGGACATTAATGCTAAAACATTTCTCTTTTTCCACATTTGTAGAGAAATATGTCTCAATGTGAAAGCCCAGGAGTATTATCCTGCTTTTGTCAGCAATTAAACTGGGTTAATGGTTGCTTCTTTTTATATGTATTACGTCAATGGAGTCATAGTCGCCTTTTACAGCAAACATGGGTTGCTGAAGACCTATTCTATCTCGGATCTTTTCGGGTCGTCTGCGTTTTGGAGCTGTAGTTCCTTGTGTCATTCTGTGTAGAAAGTTTAACGTGTTATATGATTTGTTTTTGTTAGATTGCACAATGGTAAGTTCAGTAAAAATACATCACACAACGTAGTCGTAGAAATTAGGAAGGTTTGTTCGTGTACGTACAGGGCCTTTACAAACAATACAGTTAGTGACCATTTGATTTGTCGGATTTCAGTGTTTACAAACGGTATTTTCTAAGCGAATATGCTATACATGCACGTGTAACATATTGATATTTTATAAATGTATTAACATCTACTCGATTGCGCAGCAATCGAAAAGTAAGTGTAGATCTGTAGAAATAAATTTGATACTGAATCCTGACACCACCACAGTCTAATCTTGGTATGCCGTGTTTTTGAAGGATTGCACAATCTGCGTCTTCTGTATGGTGAGGTCAGTAATAATCAAATTATCAAAAGTACCCGTAAGAATAAGGGAGATTAGTTCGTGCACTGGGGCATCAGTAATGTAAATATATAGCAGGTCCTAATTGTGACATTTGTTTTCAGCTGTGCGCCTTCATGACTTCGTGATTGAGGTCTACAGGACAAACCCGTCTCGGTGTTCAACAGCAGCTCCAGCAGTCTGTAAAACGTATGCTGGTGTCTTTGGCAGTATTGAAAACGTAGTATGTGACAATGCAGTATCAGGCAGGTTTGTTCGGATTTGGAAGCCTACAACGTTAACGACTGACGATATTCTGACAGTCTGTGAAGTGGAAGTATACGGAATTAAGCCAGGTAATGTTAACGTCCATCACTTTTGTTTTATTAAAAAATATATATAGTTAAAATCGATTTTTTTTGCCCATATAAAGTGGACGACATGATAATTGTCTCGTAGTTCTGTAAGTCTAAAATGCCAATTTAAACCGCAGATATTACCGTATGTGAGGTGGAGATATATCGAGCACAATTAATTTGTAGGAAAGTAAAGACTAAAATAAAATATACAAAAAAAATGTATGCAATAAGAACTTTGACACGGATCTGGTTGTACTGTAACTGTTGTGGGTTGCTATTGTTGTACAGCTTCAAGATGTCCTTCGGTGCGGTATCAAAGGGTAAATGGAAAGCGCCTGAACGCCCCAGGTGTAACGTCCTTTACTGAGCAGTTGAGGACGTCGTGTGTCTCACTGTGTCTGATGTCCGAGACCTGTGTCGGTGTCAACTACAACGGTAGAACTAAAGCGTGTGAACTCATCTCCCGACCCCAACCAACTGACACTGTTTCCCTGATCCAAGACTCTGTCTTCTATGGTGACGATCTATGTTAAGTAAAATATTCGAAGTCACCTTTTACCAAAAACAAATGTATATGATGTAATCACCGGACATGGCATTTTTATCCAACTGTTTAGCTATTGCAAACATAATCCTGTTTCAGCTAAATTGATTGAAAATCATTATGCAATTTGATTATTGGCCTCATGCATGTTTTGATACGACGTAATGATTCAATTCCACAATTTGGAGGTATTTTGCAAATTTTACTGAGAGATATACTTAGAACGTTTACATTTACTTGCTATTTGTTGTAACATTTCTATTTGTATTGTGAACTTTTCATCCCATCTTTTGAAAAAATAGTTTAAAGAGTCACTTTATAATACGTTACGATCTATAAAATGTCAGTGAGCAACTTATATTTTCAGTGATCGTGCCCAAATGTAGTCTACAGTGTTAATTGTAGTTTCACCCTAGCCTCATGTATATATTCACAAAATTAATAGTTTATTTCGTGAATTTTTCACTCATTTTAGCGCACCTGTCTCAATGTCAAATGAACGACATTTTGCGGCCTGTATTTCCGGCGTCCGTTTGTTGACATTATGAACTGTTGAGCTACAACGCCAGTGACACTATTTTCAAGTGTTTTTATGGGAGTTCCCAGATCTAAACCATATTGGAAAATGTAGATTCAAAGTAATGTGTGTCATGAATAGGATAAAAAGTATTTGTTTCAGTTACAAAGAACAACAAAATTGATGTCTTGTGTTTTGCATAGGATGCACTAAGAGTGCATATTCTTAACAATGCAGGTTACCCACTTTGTCATAATAATTTCGACATGGGATGCGAAAAGCTTGTTTTATTTGTCAGTAATTTATCTATAATCCTTGTAGCAATGACCAGAGATCAAGGCTACTACATCCCGCCTGCTTACCATCACCTAATTGCTAAATCCCTATGTCCATCCAATTAACCCACTGGCTTTTAATCATCTCTATCAGTCTGCTTGCTGACTCTGTTTCCATTAGACAATTCATTTGCTTCGAATTCACTGGCTCACAATCATCCGAAAGCAGCCTACGTGGTTGTTTACCCTGTCCCATTAGCCATTCACTGGCTTCTAATCATCTTAATCAGCTCTCTGTGTCCATCAATCAATTTACTGTATAAACATTGATGTTAATAAGTATATATACCTATGTTGTTCAGCACTATCCATCACTTGCTTGATAAAGGGGCTATGATCTACACCGAAACGTCGCACTTATTGTAATAAAGAAGTTGTCCATCAATAGAACTTGTCTTTCTTAATCCTAATCCATACAAAATATTAAGCAATAATATATATTGTCGGAAGGGGCAACTGACGGGATCGGGTGGTCAGGCTCGCTGACTTGGTTGATGCATGTCATCGTACGCCTATTGCGTGGATCGAAGCGCATGATGTCAGTCACTGGATTGTCTGGTCTTACTCCATTATTTACAGACCGCCGTCATATAGCTGGAATATTACTGAATGCGGCGTAAAACAACAAAGAATCAACTATTCCCTCTGATTGATTTCAGTTAATCCAACAGCAGACAATTCTTTGTGATTTGTTTTTTTTGGTATGTTTTGTGCCAAATGATATTTGTTTAAACTTATGCAATTGTGAAATACACCGTACAGACCTGTTTCTAAAAAATACATTTTCTATTCTTAAAGAAAAGTAGTATTCTCTTACCATTAGGATTGTGTTCACAAATATGTAAATGAACTAATGCTGATAGTGAAAAGTAGTTGTACACAGTATGGCGGTTATATCATGGCGCTGTAAAACCCCATGGGGATGTCAAAATAGAATTGGTTCCAAGCAACCAATGCTTGTCAATGGCATCTAACAGGATCTTGTTGTCAGGCATGGTGCCTTGGTTGATTGTTCGTGAGTTTACCCCCGGCAGTCTGTGTATACTGCATGACTGTTGCGGTTGTTCTTCAGGACACTATCGGGTGTATTCGGTTGTTCTACAGGACAACTTCATGTGTACTGCATGACTGTTGCGGTTGTTCTACAGGACACCGTCGGGTATATTGCAGAACGCATTCAGTTGTTCTACAGGACAACTTCGTGTGTACTGCATGACGTTGCGGTTGTTCTTCAGGACACCGTCGGGTGTATTGCAGAACGCATTCAGTTGTTCTACAGGACAACTTCGTGTGTACTGCATGACGTTGCGGTTGTTCTTCAGGACACTATCGGGTGTATTCAGTTGTTCTACAGGACAACTTCATGTGTACTGCATGACTGTTGCCGTTGTTCTACAGGACACCGTCGGGTGTATTGCAGAACGCATTCGGTTGTTCTTCAGGGCAACTCCTGGATGATTGTTCTAGGGATCGACTTTAACATATCGGGTGATGACTGGCTAATTTCAGGGAATTGGACCCACATGAAATTGGTCGCTTCTCAAGCTTTCAGGCCCTTGTTTATCTGGTCCAGGCTCGATTATTTACAGGCCGTGATGAGTATTGCTGATTGTGTCATTAATCAAAGTTAACTCACTCACTCACTCATTCACGCAGGGGTATTTGAGTCAGGGGACACTATAGCTTTATACATTTCACACATATCATATCACGTGAAAAAGCAATATTCAAGTTATTTGTGGCGGTCTGTAAATAATCGAGTCTGAACCAGACAAACCAGTGACTGACATCACGAGCATCGATCTACGCAATTGGTATGCGATGACATGGATCAACCAAGCCAGCGAGCCTGACTCATACGACAAGCATAGGTTGCTGGAGACCAATACTAACCCGGATCTTCACGGCTGTGGTTCTGATATTACCTGACAAATACACTGAAAGGTTTGCTAAGTAAAGCGTTTCTGAAACCCTTTGCTCACACTTTGAAGTTCTCATGCAGTGAAAGATATAACACCATTACCAATTTAAGGTCTTGTAGTGTAAACAAATCAATGATGTCTGTAACAATAGTAGTAATAGCTGTCAGTGAACCATAGTAGGATGAAAGTCTCACCTGTGAGATTGTTTCCTCTGGGATAAACATGAGTAGAACACTCAAGCCAATCACTTGATTCCGAACCGAACACTCTCTCTTCCATAATGACACACATTGTGTTTCAAAGTGTCAGAGATGTCAGAGGTTGTACAATGAACTGTATCGGAGTATCTGTGTATTGTTAGGTGTGGGATAACGTCTTCGTGTGGATTTGCGGGAAAACGTAATGAAACCGTTCGATCGGCCATTCGGTACAGTTGTTCCAACGGGAAACATTTTCTTGTGATTTGCTTATTTGGTATTTTGATGTGTAAGAAATAAACATAATCTTTAATATTTGTAAAATCAATGTAAATGTTTATGTCAAACATTTTTCATGAATGAATATTCTCGCTTCTTTGTCATTTGGTTAAAGAACTTGTGTTTGTGTTACATTTGTAGTTCACCAGGCATATCTCCACACCTATAAACTGAGCTTCACGCATTGTATATACACAATTTAGACCTAAAACAGGTAAACAGCACCTTATCTTTAAGCATAGTTCCTCTGTAAGGAGGGGTCACTAGCATAAATTAAGTTCAACCTACTGTGAAAGGTAGTTTGCTAAATATTGAAGGGTCTAAAAAAATAGACAACAACATGCACAATATAAACGGTTGGGCAAAAGAAAATACAGTAAAGTGCGGTTATAACGAACTCAAAGTGACTACTTATTTTAGTTCGTTATAACCGTAGTTCGTTATAAGCATATACACAGTATAACTCCAGCAAATAGTCGGGACCAAAAAGTAAGTTCGTTATATCCGTCAGTTCGTTATAAGCGTGTTCGTTATAACCGTAGTTTACTGTATGCTCTCATGTTTGATGGTGGCTAAACATGAAACAAACAAAAAAATGGTTATTCGATGGTGATGTATTTCATATGAATAACAAAGTTGTGTTTTGAATACTTTCTCTTGCCCGGATGTTGACTCATGTTTTAACATATTCAACAAGGAGTAGAGTGTGTTTCATATTTTCTACGGTCTAATACTAATATTCATTAAACTACGTTTATCATGCACGCTTTCGGAACCTTGTGAGAAATAGTGTGAGCCCGACTTTTAGATCTCTCCTATTAAGTGAGTAAAAATATAATGTCGCATCTGTAGTATTGTTGGCAAAGGACAGTTAAAACACATTTCTAATATGGTCATAATGATATGTGTACAAGCGGTCATCATTTGAATAGACATTGTATAGTCATAGCTGAAGTATTTGTGGTTATTTTAATTTATGTTTCTCAATAAACGTATGCACTCTCCAATGATATAGTCAGAGTAATATTGTCTGTTAAAATGGCGATTGGTAAGAACAATGTACTTCCTCCCACCCAGTCCCGCTGTGAGTTGATGCTTGTTACAGCCGATCTGCATTGAGGACTGACTGCTTACAATGAGCGATCTGCTTGTCAATACATCGTTGCCGAGACCCTAATATTTAGAGGCTGTCACACACATGTTTTATGTCTAGTGGTATTTTATGTAGTTTAGACATTCATATAATAAATCTATAACTTTAATTTTGTTTTGACTCTGAAATCGATATGTCAGTATAGCCAAAGTTCCTCTCGTTATGTCTGAGGCTTGACACACATTCTGATTGATATTGGAAAACATCTGTCCAGGTTCGTAGATTCAGTTACCTAAAGATTACGATTCCACATAGCAATGGCTTGAAATTCATACGGGCTGGAAGTATATGTGAGTGAGTATTGTGTATAATTGTGCCTAGAGCACGCAACGTTTTGGCTCAATGATTTATTCACAGTAATTGACTCACTAATGAGACCCAATCCTCACGGAAAAAGTAAAACTACTCAAGTGATGTCGGCGAGTACAGTGGATCAGTCAATGGGTGCCTGATGATCACTCACTTGCGGAGACTAAATTATAAGTGACTAAATTCTAAATATATCAGAAAGTTTTCTTCCATGCGTAACACATTTAGGAAGAGAATAATTCCCATGCGTTTGTAGGACTGACGATACAATTAACCGACTAATGCATTTGTGTTTGACACAATTAACCATGTTACAGATTGTAACCATACATACAATATAACTTAAGTTTGCCAATAGTTCGCCGTCTCTGTCCAGATTAATGTATTTGGGCATTCTGAAAATTCGATGCATTTAATATGTATTTACTCATTCAGATAATATTACCAACATATGGGTGTTTGATTTCTGACCTACCTTTGTACCAATGCTCCTATCTTGTTTCACATATTGCCACATTGATGCGTTTCAGGGTTAAACCAATGAACTCTGGTCTTATATAGGTTGTATCTCTGATGCAACAAGTGGAAGGTATCTTACGCTCATACAGCCAATATACTGATCATTCCATCACCCCGCTGACGGACCCTACCTGCTCTGTTTACAATGGCATGCATTTGTTGATGTGTCAGCCCGACTGTTTTATCAAAGTGAGTTAGCTGAAAGTTCTTGCACACATAAGTACCTGATATGTGTATTGCTTTCGCACATAATAACACAAATAGACATTTACCATAGGGTTATTTAATTTATCATTTGTCACACACCTAAACTTTGCACAGTATCGGAATTCAATTCTGTTGTTGGTATACGCGTACGTGGCACCATACCCAAACTCTTGGTAAGACCAACCTCACTCTAGGCTTTCCTCTAACATCAAGAGGGGGCACGGGTGGCCCAGTCGTCTGAGGCGCCGCGATTCGCTGTACAGAGTTGCGTCCCTTGGGCACGCCAGAAACCTATGATTGTGGGTTCGAATCCCGGTTCACCCCGATTATGTTTCTAGGTTTGTCAGCACCATACCCGTGCTCGTGGGTTTCACCAAAGTGGTAAACGTCTGAGACCTGCATCACTTCGGGGTTTCCTCCCACAGTAAGCTGACACGCCGCGATATAACTGGAATACTGTTAAAAGCGGCGTTAAACCCAACTCACTCACTCACTCTAACATCAAGATGAGACTTCCTGAGATAATTGACATACTGTTCAAAGCAGTGTTAGACCCTTGGATGCGATGTTACGTTCCTGGCAAAACTACTCCAAACGACCTCTGAAAATTATTTAATTACAAGTATATCTGTTTATCGTATATTCCTTTGTGCATTTGATGTGAAATTGATGACTCTCAGGTGTGCGACAAGTGGAATTTAGATACACGATCAAC